TTTTGTAATATTATCTGTTTTGAAATTGTAATAATCTATTATTATATTATATATATATATATGTTTTCTTTAGTATAAATATTGTTATTTTAAAATATTCTACATATTTGATATTATTATGTATCATATATAATAGAAACATTATTATGTTGATGACAATGTAATGTTAAAGTTATATAAGATGATGTAACAATAATTTGAATAATCATTTGTTGTTATACATTAATATATTGAAATTAATGCCGATTTATACAATTAACTTATTATTTAAGTATATTTTAACTGATGATTAAATTGTTTATATTTTGAGGTCATTACACTTATTTCTTAACGGTCTATTAATGTAATTTTACAAAGATCGTTTAATAAAACATGACTTTAAAAAGTTTTCTCGTAAACCTTATACTAGTTATACCAGTAGTAATTATCTAAAATAATTTTTGTTTAATTGGTTTCTTCTAAACATATAACAAAATCTATACAAGATTTCAGCGTACGTAATTGTTTTACATAGGATATTTAATAACTGAATTTTATTGTTTTTTGAATGCAAATAATAACAATAATAATTATGGATTAATAAAATCAAAAAAGTTAAATTATTAATGATTTTGGTTCTTATTAAATTGTAATAACGAATTCAAAAAATATTCTGGTTTAATGACGAAATAAAAATCTTAACTATGAGAAATTCATGCGATTTTGCGTTCTTTTGTTTTCATTAAAATCAAGCTGTTGTGTACGCATGGATGAATATCACCGGAAACTGATGTATTGGTATTACTAGGAATCACAGGTAGATATTAGAGACTAAGGTAGACTCTTATATAATTAGATTCATTTATTGTAAAAAAATTCTACTTATTTTACCATACTATTCTGAAAGAAATTCTTGCCTAATGAAGTGTTTATGTTAATAAGTTAAAATGATCTTAAATTAACTGTACCTACCTGTTGTATAGTCGTTCATAGATATATTTCACATTCATAAAATAAATAATAATAAAATAATATGTATAATCTTATTTTTATACATACCACAAATTTTTAATATTTTAAAATATGATTTTTCTTCTTGTCAGTAATTGTATATAAATATTGTATGGTTTTAATTTTATACTAACTGGTTTAAAATTATTTCTTGAAAATTACAACTCAGAACTTTATAGCATCATATTACATAATCACAAAAAATGAAATTTGCAATTAATATAAAATATTGGTAAATATTTTAACACTATTTTAGCTTTTAATTTAATTTTATAACACTATATTATTGTACGAGTATTATTGACTTTTTACAGTATTATCAAAATATCCGTATTAAACTATTGTTGAACAATGGACAGTGTGTTATAAATTTTAGTAGGGAGGTATGTATAATATAATATACGAGTATACATATAAAACATTTTATGTTACTATAATTATTAAACCAACCATATTTTTCTACTTCACTTATTTTTATTTAGAAAATATTGAAATCCATTGTACCTATTGAAAATTATTAATAGTAGGTATTTCAAGTTATCTTTGGCCGGTTTATAAAATATTTTGTTTCAATGGGATTTCAGAAGATTTTTTTGTATAATTATATTCTAAAATATATATATATAAGAGTATATATATTTTTTTTTTTAAATAAAAAAACATTAAATTATATATTGTATATATTTTTAATTTTTATACTTCTTATCATATATTCTTAATATATTTACTAAACCGTTTTAACAAGGTATTTGAACTTAATTTGCCTAGTTTTAATAAGTAGTAAATATTATATGATTAAATAAAGAATAGTGGTTTTAAAAGATATTATACATATATGTACTAATTTTTATATATAAAAACTCGTTTATAAAGTTCACTTAAAGTTAAAGCTGCTAATATATTATTAAATATTTATTATGTAAAAATTAAATTTATATAATATGTAGGTTGTTCAAATACCAGTTAATTTACAAATTGTAAAGGGTTTTATAGATTTTTTACTTAGTTGAAAAATATACGAGTATATTATATTTAATATTGCTTAAGATTTCTTGATAAATTAATTATTATTAATATGTGTTCAATTACAGATAAATATAATTATTTGTGAATTGTGGGTATTCAGTATTATTGTGTAGGTTCAGCCATTTAAACTATAATTTCGTATATTTAAATAACTCTAATTATTGTATAGGTACATGTGGCAAGATTTTCCAGATATAATAGGTATATAATTTAATAGAATCAACAATAATAATTATTTCTGACATTATTGCATCTCCATTCCTTCTTTCTAGTTTTCTTACGATCAAAAAAATCATGTAGTCAAATTCAACTTGCACGTATTAACTATTAATATTAATATTTTAGATGCAGTTTTACAATAAAAATATTATGTTTTATTTAACGTGTATAAAATATATTATATGTAACACACAGAATTTCCAAGAATATCTTGAATAGTGATGTTGTACATAAGTTGTTAAATAATAATACTTATGAGATGTGTTAATGTATATGACAGTACCTAACGAGTTAATATAATTTCTCTTAGTGAGACAATATTGGTACAGAAAATATAATTTATTTGGAATAACACAAACACAACATACCCTTTTTTAGGAAACGATACTACGTAGACGTAGTCTACGTTATTCGTATTACACAATATCGTTAGCCATCAATCCAATATATTAGTTTCAGTGACTACAATGATGGTTATGACTTATGACAGATGGAGAAAGCAGATTTACTTGTAAAATTATTTCTATAACTAAGTAGAGTGCAAACTAGTAAAAATGATATAAGTTTAACGTCAATAACCTTGTTTGGTACACATAATTTGCTAAATTCTGATATTAAATGATATAAATATGCAATATTACATTTTTACTATAACTACATAATTCATTCAATTGTACCTATACCATTTAATTAAAAAAAATATAGAATTTTTGAATTTAACTATAACGTTTAACACTTACATATATGTAATACAATTAATACAAATGCCTAAATTTTATTCGTTTATTCTTAATATATTAATTTTTTTGTAAAAAATTCAATAAGATTTACTAGTAATACAGTAATATAATAAAACCTAAAAATACCAAATCATCAAAATATTAATATTATATGTAATTATTTATATTTATCATTTGCTAGTATCATTGTACCTATTACTGGCAATTTTTATTGTATTTTTTACAAAACGTATTTAAAAGCAAATATCTCAGATTCATATGCATATAACCAAGTATCACAATATATTTAAATAATTCAAAATAATAGGTCTAAAATATTATTACGTCACAATATAAGTACCAAGTAACAATAATAACAAAATGTAGTTAAATAACTAGGTCCCTATAGTTGTCTTCGTATTTGTGTAACGACAATAATAATATATCATGCTATTATTATTATTTACATAATATTAATTAACTATTTTCTTTGTTAAATAATCTTAACTTAATTCCATAAATTTCAAAATTATTATGTAAATGAGATATTAGAGATTAATCTATATAATATTCCTATTATAGTTCGTCTTGCTTTTTAGTAAATATATACTTAAGGCTTTTTAAAATGTTAAGTTAATGACACTTTAAATAATAAACATATATTTTTCTACCGAATGTCCGAATATATAGATTATTAGGCTAATGAGATTTAAAATATTATAATACAATAAATTGCAGCAATTATTTACATATTTATGATCATTAGAATAGTTTGAAATTAAAACAAGAAATTATAATATATTAATAAGTTACTTAATTAAAAATACATATCTGTTGATTATTTTTATAATGTTTTATTTTTTATACTTGGCTTTAGGTTTTATGTTACATAAATTAATATAAGTTTCACTATTTTAAAAAAGTTAAAATAAATTATAAATAATTAATTTGAATATTAAGTTTGATTTATTTAATATTTTTTTTAATTTTTCGATTTTAGTCTGAATGGTATTATAAACTAATGAAAAATCATCATAATAATTTTAAGATATAGAATTCGAAGAAAATTTCAACAAATATTAATTATGGATAAAATTATCTACTAAATAAGCACTTAAAATAAATATTAGATTATAAAAAATAACATTATAAAAGTTGTCAATTTAAAATTTAAAAATAAAATAAAATATATAGTACGTTTAATAGTATTTAGTAAGAACATTTTCAAATAAATAAAAATATGAGTATATTATATTACATGATAAAACTGCCAATGCTAATCCATTTTATTTATATAAATATATTAGCTTTGAATTAATGTTATTCAATGTAAATATATTTGGTAAGTTATATTATTATGTTATTTCAATTCAAGTTTATGGATATAAACTTAAAAGTATTAAACTGAAAAATAAAATAAAACTTTTTAAATTATTCATATTATCTATTATATATGTACTTTAAAATTTAATCTCCAGTTATTTTAATTTAATGGTAATCAACGTTATAATTTAAAAACTTAAATTTTTTGAAATAATATAATATTAAAATGTAATACGCACGACAGTGTATAAGAATGTTATTAAAATCATATAAAGTCTTACCCCAAATGCACCAAGAAAAGTTATATGATATTTGAATCATAACGTACATGCATATTACATGTTGTAAAATATAATATTAAAGCTGATCATATAAATTGCCGAACATATTTTAACCACCACATGGTTCGTTGGCGACGTTAAGAGCTGATGCTGTTATACTGCTCTTAGAGACAATATTGTAATAAAAATAATATGAAAGTAAAACTGGAACGGCCTCCGGCCCGGTGAGATAATAATAACCAATATATTATTTTAATCCAAACATAACTACCGGAAACACATTTACCTTACCCATCCATCCGCTGCAGTATCTATGTACGTACGTGCCCCGCGTATTTGGGCACGCGACGACTCCGCATTACGCCAACTGGTTATCGTTAATTCGATCCCACCAAACAAGCGATCGGAACTAACACTAGCGTTATTTCCGTCAAGTTTGTACGTATAAAACTGCTATCGATGATCGTTAAACGTATCAGTCGTGTTTGATAGAGCTTCACAGTACACAAGAGCACACACACGAGATTTACTAATAATCGAAAATGGCATACAAGGTAAGATTAAGACAGAAAAACAAAAATACACACACACACACACACACGCACCTATTTCTAACTTTTGTACTTATGTTCTCTCCTCACGACAGATGTTCTCCACCGGTCTGGTGCTCGCATTCGCCAGCATGTGCTTGTGCCAACAACAATCGACTTCCAGCTCAACTTCGCAATACCAGCCAACCGCTGTGTCTCCGGCGTCGTTCCAGACGGGATCGGCGGCTGCCCAACAGCCACAGACAAAATTGGAAGACATCGAACGCGACAATCTGGTAGCCGCTTTCGGACAGAAAACACAACAGCCATCCAATAAACCGTTGTCTGTGGTCTCTTCGGGCTCTCAACCACAACAACCACAACAACCATCGCAGTCTTACCAAGCGATCCCGCAACAGCAATACTACATGCAGTCTTATCAAGGAGTACCACAGCAGTTCTACGTGCAACCGTACCAGACCCAACAACAGTACTTGGCCCAACCTTACCAGATGGCTTTTGACTACGCCGGTGTACAGTACTCCATCGTCAACCCCAGCTCGTACCCCGGTAACCAGATTTACCAACAATACTATGTGCCAGCTGCCCAACCGTCGGCTGTTCCTGAATACGTGACCAAATTATCTTTCCCGGCCACCGCTCCTGCTCAAGCTCAACAAGAATACAAACAACAACAACAACAACAACAACTGTCCACCCCTACACAAGCTCAACAAGTATATAAACAACAACAATTCGCCGCCACTCCCGCTCAAGCTCAACAAGAATACAAACAACAACAATTCACCGCCCCCGCTCAAGTGCAACAAGAATACAAACAACAACAGTTAACCACCCCTGTTCAAGCCCAACAAGAATACAAGCAACAACAGTTCAACACCCTGACTCAAGCTCAACAACAATACAAACAACTGCAACAACAATACGTCGTGCCGTCCCCCGCATACCAATACGTCCAACAGCCAGCCGCCCCACCTAGCAACGGTCCTGCCGATTACTCCTACGTCACCCGTCATCCGGCCACCACCGCTGTCCAGTTCAAAGCCCCGGCAGCCGCCGTCCAACCCCAATACCAGTACAACGTATTGCCGCAACAGTACCAACAACAACCCCAATACTACTACACTGTGGCCGCAACCGAACAGCCGCGAGTCCAACAGTCAGCTAAGAGCCAATTCTCGTCCGGAGTGAAGTCCACCACTCCCACTCCTTTTAAGGAACCATTCGCGTACAAGTTCGAATCATCGCCGCAACAACAACCCGGTGCCGCTTACAGCACGCTCAAATACTCCGCTTAGATGGCGCAAGTGCATTTTCGTTGAGGAATCGTGAAAGGTGCATCATTATGTAATATTATTGTACATAGTGCAGTCGATTGTATTTACACACACTGCGCCTAATATTCGTTGTACGATTATTGGATATCACTATTATTATTATTATAACTATTATTATTATTATTAATTAAGTACTACTAGTGCATTGCAGCACAAATATTTTGTAAAATATTTATTTCCCCGACGATTTTCATATATTACGGCTGCAGGTCGTAACTGACTTAGCGCTGTAATATATATGTGTCCCTAAGAAAAAAAATGCAATTATTTGTTATTATTTTGGTTTAAGAATAAATGTGAAAACACTTAAGTTTGTAGACCATTAAAAATACTTGTTTTTGATATACCTTTAAATTCTGTCCGATCCACATAATGGTTCGAGAAAGCGTTTAATCTCATCAAATGGTTCGTAGCTACTCTTATTAAAATCGTTCATCTATAACATATGTTCGAGGTAAAAATCACATTTTATGTATATTTTATACGGATAACGTTAATAAAACTTTTCCCATATTTATTATAGTAAAAACAAATTAAAACGAGTAATTAATTAATATTAGAATATGTATTACAATATTATAATAATGCTTGCACAGTAGCACCAGATAAATTAACAACCTGCGTATTTGATGTTATAGCTTATAACTCATAAGTTATAACATTTAATTGTCTTATTTATTTCTTTAAAGCTGAATTAATTCATAGTTAATTGTATAGTATTTATGTATTAGGTATAACAAAGTTATGCACTTTTTTTTTCGCAATGAATTATATAAGTGATTATAAAATCTAAAATATATTTGTATAATATTTCAATACTTAAAAAGTATTTGAGTACTGCCAAATAAGTATTAAATCACTTTTTATTTAAAATATTCGATTAAGTATTTTAAATACAGTATTTTATTTTTAAATACAAATTGTATTAAATATTATAGATTTGATCCGATTTTTCTTATTATCCTGGACAGTTAGACCATTTATTTTACAATTACTAAATTTTTATTTATATAATATTGAGGAAAACAATGTACCTAATCAAAGGGAAATAGTGTTAAGTGTGTAAATAACTATATAGCTAATCAGATTATTAATTCGTGTAACCGAATGCTAAAACCTTCATACACGAAGCTTAATAAAATAATTGTAGAACCGTGGAATTTTTTAATTTATTTTATTTTAGGTATAATTTAGTGGTTTCACAATGTGTGATTTATTTTACTTATTTATTATTATTTTTTTTTTTTTATTTACTTACACTTTTTATAGTAAAACAATTTAAATTACCAACTTTGAGAGTAGTTTTTTGTAAAAAAAAATTGAATTTAAGTAAGTTTATTTAAAAATAAAAAAAAAATCCGGAATTACTTAAAATAATCAGTAAAAACGAAATTTCAACTAAGACAAAATGGAATATTTTAATGAAAACCAGTTTTTGAGAAAATTTAAATTAACCAAAATATTTAAATTATTTTGTAATCAAGAAAATATAAGATTTTTATTTTTATACCAGGTTGAAAGTATAATAAAAGATTTCCAGTAAGTTTCATTCATATTAAATAAATTATGTATCATTATATTATATTATTATTATTATTCAAAAAATATTAATTGTAAAAATTTGAAATATTCTACTACTATTAAAATCATAGTTTTCTATAAACAATGAAATTTTCAAAATACTTTGAATAATTTTAAGGTATTTATTCATGTAAAATTTTTGATTTTAGACTCTGAGAAATTGAGCAATGATTTTACAATGATGTTTGTTTTTTTTTTTTTGTCTGTTAAAATCTCAATTAATGACAAGGTACACTTGATATATTCTTTAAAACTGAAACACTTCCCCAATTTTTTTAAATTAAAACTTGAAAGTAAAGTATATGAAATTCATACAATATAGATTATAGATATTAATGATATAATTAGGTAAAATGTTTGAAATTAAATTATTAAAAAAATAAAATTTAATTTAGTTTTAGTTTTTTGTAGTATTTTTATAAAACAGTTTCATAAATATATAAACAAAATCGATTGTAATTAATTAAAATAGCAATCATTTTAAAAACTTTAGTTTAAAATAATAAATAAAGAAAACGTAAAAGTAATAATTATTGTATTTAAACAACTACAAAAACAAATACGTTTAAATATATGTACTTAGCAGTTAAATTTTAACTTGATTAATATTTTAATAATGATTACCTACTTTAAATAATGTTTTTTTAGTAAATAAGTATATTGTTTCATATTGTAAATAAAATATAAATAAATAAACAATCTTTGTTTTCTTAAGCAAAAACATATCTAAATAAGACACTGAGTGATGTTACAGAGTCTATTAATTTACTATATTTATATTCATTAATCATTAACAATTTTAGTTTTATAAAAAATATTTGATACCGACAATTATAAATTAAACGAAATCATCAAATTCGATAATATATATTTAATAAATATCGATGATCCATAATAACATATTTTTTTTTAATTCAAGTCAATATTAATAAATAAATAAAGAAAAAAATGTTTTGAAGTTAGTAAATTTTATTTATTTATCATTATTATTGTAGGTTGTACATTTTTATATTTTGTCTACTATAATATAACTAGGTATCTATTTAAAGTGTATATTGTAAAAGATATAAGATAAACTCGAAAAATAGTAGGTACTCTATTATGTTTTACAATTTACAAAATATTTAAATTTGTATTTTCGGTTCACTTACACATTTCCAGCATATCATATTTTATTTTTATTTGAACTATATTACGTGATTATATGTATATTATGTAGTAGGTATTTATTAAAAAAAACTTAAGTTCCATGAGCATTATAGAATTTATAAAATAACATTTAACAGCTATTGATTGAATTATATTTAGAATTGTATTATCCTTAGACTATTTGAACTCTATCTACAATTCATAATCTTATATGAGAATCGTATTAAACTGTATATACTTGACAACACTTGAAGTGTACGTAATTTTAAACTAGATTTATTCATTTTTTTATAAATTATGTTTATAAAAATATGATGAAAAGAAAAACTTCCTTATTGAAACAAATAAAAAAGTATTATATTGCATAATAATGTACAATAAATATTAAAGGATATTATATTAAATAAAAATAATAAAGATATGATGTACCTACCGTATACAAATTATTAATAAAATTAGTTATTTAAAGTTAAAATTAAAACATATGTTTAAGAAATTATATTAAATAGCCAATAGGTATAAACTATTTATTTTTTTTTTTTAATTCTTAAGTAAGAAGTACTTACATTTGATTTTGTTATTAAATATTTAAAATAATAACATAAAATCTAAATTTAAATTATTTTATTTTATAAATTATAATTATTAAAATTTTGTAATCAACAAAATGTATAACAAAATAATAGACGAATTTATGAAACAATAAAATAAATTCGTATTGAATATTATCTTTAATATTAATAACATGAAATATTATTAAAAACATGCATATAGGAAAAACAAATTTAAATTTAAATTTTCATCATTGTAAACATGTAAGTAGATAGTTCGTGAATCATATAATCGTATTCGTGTTGTTTGCCGTACAAGTCACGGAATGCAATTGTCACATCATTATTTTTAAATTATTTCGTTAATGTTTTTAAACCTACGTATATTGCTACTATTATATGAAACGAAATTATAACACAAATAGTATACAAATGAAAATCTAACTATCCATCAATTTAATGTTAGAATAGCAATGTATTATTAAAGTGAAACATAAAAATTATCAGTAAGTGATATGTCCCCGTATATTAATATGTACAAAGTTACCTCATTAGTAAAAACTGTTAATTAGTAATTAGGTCCCACCAAATGGGGATCCATCAGCGATATTATAGTGAAGTACGATCATATATAACCCTATTGGTGTTGGTCAAATGTATCAGTCGTCTTCGATTTAGCTCCACAGAACATACATAGTCATAAACACAGGACACTTACATATAATCTAGAAATGGCATACAAGGTAAGTGTACTAAAAATAAATTTTTACCATAATATTAACGTTCATAAATACTAATATTTTTTTCTACCGATAGATGTTCTCCACCGGTTTAGTAATGCTCGCTTTCATTGGAGTGACTTTGTGTCAACAACAACTAAATCAATTAACCACCGGTATACCGTCTCAATACCTGCCGTCATCTATGTCACATGGGTCTTTCCAGGGGTCTTCGGTGGCTGTCCAACAACCACATGTCAAATTCGAGGACATCGAAAATCCATCTAATAAACTATCGGCTCCAATTATGTCAATACCTCAACAACCACAGTCTTACCAAAATCCTGAACAACGTCAAAGTTATGAACAATCATACCAGACACCTTTCGAAAACGCTGGAGTGCAGTACTCGATTGTCACACCAAACTCTTACCACAGTAACCAGGCTAGTCAACAGTATTACGTACCAGCCACTCAAATGTCAGCCGAACCTCAATTTAGCACCAAGGAATTGTATGCGGCCACCTTACCGGAAGTCGTCCCTGCCGCCATCCCACGACATGTTCAACCAGAATACAAAATACAGTACACCGCCCCGACTGAAAATCAACAAGACATCTCTTCCGTCAACGTTGCTCAAGCTCGACATGAATACAAACAACAACAACTTGCCGCTCTAGCTCAAGCTCAAGCAGAACATAAACTACAGTTTTCTGCCCTTGAACAGGCTCAACAAGAGTACAAACAACAATTCGCTGATCTTACCCAAGCCCAACAAGAACTTAAACAACAGTTCGCCGTACTTGCACAAACCCAACAAGAGTATAACCAAAAATTTTCCGTTCTTAACCAGGCTCAAAAAGAGTATAAAGAAGAGTTCGCCGCACTTAACAAAGCTCAACAAGAACTTAAACAACAGTTTGCTATCCCAACTCAGACTCAACTAGAATACAAACAACAGTTCGCCGACCTTGCACAAGCTCAACTGGAATTCAAACAACAGTTCGCCGGACTTATCCAGGCTCAACAAGAACTCAAACAGCAGTTCGCAACCACAGCTCAGGTTCCACAAGAATACAAACAGCGGTTCAACGTTCCAGGTCAACAAATACACAGGCAACAGTACGCCGTTGCAGATCAAGGCCGACAAGACTACAGACAACGATTTGTCGTTCCAACACCCACATATCAATACGTTCAAAAATCGACCGCCTCCGCTGCCACCAGTCCAGTCAATTATTCGTACGTCGCTCAGTACCCGGCCACCCAAGTAAAAGCCCAAACGACCACAGCTGTCAACCCTAAATTCCAGTATGCCATCATTCCACAACAATACTACTACTCCGTTCCCGTTGGGCAGGTCGCCGTCACCGAACAGCCACGCGTCCAACAGACAACTATGAATCAATCGTCGTCCGGAGTGATTATATCCACCACACAAGCTCCGTCTGAATCAACACCAAAAATGCAACAACAACAACAACAACAACAACAACTCAAAGCTGTTCCCAACAACTTCAAAACCATCGTCGCTTAGAAATCACACGTGACAATATATTACAATATTATTTATTAAATTATTTTAATACGTATTTAGGATAGGTATTTATTATCGGGAATATTTCCACACACTTCAGCTGGCAGGTTTTTACTTTGCAATGTGTTGTACGTGTTTACGTATGTATTCCCATTAAAAAAATGTTTGATTAAAATGTTAAAATGTTTGTATTTATTTGGTTTTAAAATAAATATTGAAATACTTTATTTTCTGGATCATTAATATACTCGTTTTCAATGCACCTAAACTTTTATAATTTATATAATACTCTAATAACTCAAGAAAACCGATGAATCTCATCATATGATTTTCGAATTATTCGCGCATAAATGTATAATAACATTAATAACACTATTAAATCGGTCACCGATTTCAAATCGTTCGACGTGCACAGCAGAACGTCATAATATTTATAAAATATTTAACACCACTCACGTTTATGTGTATATCGAAAATCAATCACATATTATATATTATTCAATTTATGTTAGGTAATATTTTATAACTTATAATATACACCTACTAAATACGCTAATAAGGTATTTAGCTAACGCATTATTTCTATTTTAACTATTAATTTATCATGAATAATGAAATGTTAAATCACTTAATAATTTTTGTACGGATAACGAAAACAGACGAATAGTGAGAATTTGTGAGATAGTTCAATAATATTACTATATACTTGAAGCATCACATACAATATACTTTATTTATTATTATTTATTAAAACTATAAGTTACAACACTTATTTTTATTGATTTTTAGCTTTAAGTTTTATTAAAGTATGCATTTGCTAGTAAGAACAACAAAAGTATTATTGGCAATCATAATTACAAACCAATACCAATTAATATGTGAATTACATATTTTGTGTTAAAATATTTTAATAATAACGTTAAATTCAATATAATTCAATGATATGGCAATAATAACATATTTTTTTAATTATTCAAATACGATCTATTATACATAAATATAAAAAATAAAAATGTTAATTTACTGAGACTATTTTTCTCACAGAATCTTCGATATTAAACTATATTTCTATGATAATTTAAAAAAATATGCATATACCTAGAAATCTAGTATATACTTTTATTATATGTTAGTATATTAATAATATTATGATAGATGTATTACCTGTATGACAATCGAATTATACATTTTCACACTGAAAATATGTTAATATATTTAATATATATGACATATAATAATCTTCGTAAAAATACATAGATATTAGAACAATTATGGTAAAATATTTTTGCCATTATTACAGTATAGAAACCTAATAATGTTATACATTTAACTATTTGGGCATTATCAAAACTGTATAAGCTTTATAGAATTTAGAAATAAATATATAAATTTATTAGAGGATATCAACGTAGTATTTTTTTTCTTCTAGATCTAACAGAAACATAGACAAAACTCTTTCACATAAAACCATTTTATTTTTAAGTTATCTCATGATACAATTAAGTATTAACAACATTTTAAAATATAATAATTTTACGTGTTGACAAATTGATTTTATATTTTATTATTATTTGAAAAGAAAAATATAAATTTAAATGGATATTAATTTTTGAAACAATACGAAAATACTTAAAAATAATATTCTTAATAAATTTTCTAATAGGTAAATTTATTCTAATATCACTCAAAAACCTAAACACAAAAATGATTTCGTATAAACGCGTTTTAACTGTGTTGTTTGTAGATCATAGAGATAACACACTAACATATTTTTAAATATCATTTAATTTAAATGTATTTTATTCATATTTACTATGATTTTATTGATTATTTATTCTAAAAATAAATTTCAAATAAATAAATAAATGTAAAGATATATTTCTCGATGGGTAATTTAAAAAAGCGACTGTATGAATAAGTTATTACGTCTTTTCACAGTACCTAAATATTATTGTGCGATATGAAATGTATTGGTACCTATCTGACAATGTCTTATTCATAAACATTTCAAGATATTCATTAAATTTATAAGAAATCGGTGACATAGAATTCTTTATAGACTGAAAAATATTATACAAGGAAGAAATTGGAAGAATAATAATTTTCTTTCACTAACTCGTCCATAAAAATATAATTTATTGATTCATTGTCAAAAAATAAAAAGCTTTGACTCATATTTCACAATAAATAGTAGCCTATTGTAATAGTATTTTTATATCTTAGTGCATATCTATTATTCAATTTATATAACTTTAATTATTCTATAGTGAAATTTATTAATTTAAGGTAAAACTATTGAGAAAGATATTAACATTTTTAAACAGTTATTATTTATTAAACAAATTATATCTCAAAATAAATAATATGATACATTTAAATCTATTTCTTAACAGTTATTTTTTGTATAGTATCAGTTTTTTACGTGTTAAAGTAATTTTATAAAATGAACTAATATTTTAACTTTATTATGAATTATACATAAACTTTCTATATGACGCAATACAATCATTAGATTATTAATATTTAAAACGATAAAATTGATTTCTTCAACTTATTTTTAATATAGATACAATACAGCATAATCAATATTACAACATATAGTAGGTCTTTATACTATTTATAACTATTAATTATATGAATTTAATTTAGATCTAAAAAAATTAAGATGTTCATAAAATCACTATCTATATTAAAATCATAAATATATGTTGTTTATCTATTTTATTTTTATTCAAAAGTCAATATATTATCTTTAAGCGATAAAATAGAATTCTATTATTGTCAATTTACTACATTTAATTAAGCTATAAAGTCTAAAATCATATTTATGTGCATTTTAAAATGGTTAAAATTAAATTTTTCTAAGATCTTTTTTCAAAAAGTATTTTACATTTTATACAAATTGTAAAGAATTTCTTAGTTTTAAATTTGAATTAAACGTACACAGATTTTATATAATTTAATATAATTTAAACATGGATATTGGAATAAGTAGATCAATTTATATTAAGTAGGAAACAAATTTCATAAGCTATTAAAATAGTGATACAGAGAATTTCATTATAGTGTTATTACAAATTATTTTTAATATTTAAAACGAACGCGTACATATTATTATAAAACAATTAAATAATGTAAACCATTATAATATGGAATTTGTTTCGTCTAATTGAAATGTACGTATGCTACATTCGTCCTACTAAAAACATTTTTTTTTTTTTTTTTTTATGTGCAAATATTACGTATTTTTCTTGGACTTAACAATTTATTGTGTAACATATTATTAATACATGATCAATAAAAAATAAAAATAATATATATATTTAATGGATGACGGTTATATTTAGACATGAAATGTGTATTAAAGCCATCGTCCATCAAACTATATTAAATCTAAAATACTTTCCCTTATGAATTGTTCCAATATTATACAATAGTCAGTAAACTCAAACAATTTTAATGATTCCGTCTCCAGTGCATAGAAAATAATGAAAATATAGAAGGAATTTAATAGTTTCTAAATTTCAGCGAAAGTTAAATAACTACCTACATATATTACGAATATATATTATTTTGTTTTAGATTTTAATATAAGTACATCAAGTATGAAAACTCCAAATTTATTAACTCGTTACAGCAATAACATAAACTAAAAATTAATAAAACCTAACAAAAATGCAATGACCATTGACCTAATTTTATGTTCACAATATAAATAAAATATACGTGTAAAACAACTCAATTATTTGAGCTCGCTATGCATGAGAAATTTACTACAGCTGTTATTGTATTATATGTCTTGTTAAATTTTTGTTTTGCATAATTCATAAAGATTAATAATTCTCAAAAATAAAACTTATCTGTTTTAATATGTTGACTATTAACATGTTTTAGTAAGTTTAATTGTTCAGATAAAAAAACTCTAAGTGGAAACTTTAAAAATAAAAGTTGAATGGTATTATTATTATTATTATTGAATTTATCGACTCATATTAATTATCACGATTATTGATTTTCAATAAAACCTTTTTTCCTCATTAAAATGTTTACATATTGATATTGTTATAAAATGTTAATGAAATACTAATAGTTTAATATTTCATTTTAATATTGTGCTTAATTTAATTTTTTATGACGATATAATATATCATAATTAAATTAATTATGTTGTTGCTTAATTATACTATCATGATAGTAATCCACAGATATTTATTTATTTTCATTTGCTATGTATATAGATTAATTTCTTTCACATATTTTCTGTTCATACATTTAGTGATACATTGCACATTAATAAAACGAATGTATTTAGAACTATATAACACAAATTATGATAATCTACCAAGTATCAAAAGTAAACTTCTCAAAAATCTTAAAATTTTGATTATTATTTTTATTTTTAATTCTGTCTATAATTACAATGGAATATAGACAATGACAAATTATAAGTTATAAATTATAAATGAATAACATATAGTAAATATATATGTATATTCTATATAACAAATAAAAATATTAATAATAATAATATGTATAATATAAAATATATTAATAAATAATTTATTAATAAAATTATGATAGATCACTATTTATCATACGCCTCATTCTAAAGATTGGCTGGATTATACATTAATACATTATTGTATATTTTAAAATTTTAGAAAATCTAAAATTATTTATGGTAAACCTCAATTTAAAACAGTCATGAAATTTTATTAGAACACAAAAGTTATCAAATAATTAACAGGAAAAGTTTTTCACGATTATGTTTAACTTACGAGCTATAAGACTAAATAAATTAGATTTTTTAAAATATTTAATTGTGATTAATCGACAAACTGTTGCTTAGATATACAATCAGAAGGTTTATAATATGCATTTATAGCATAGTAGTGTGCACACCAAGAAAGTATAATTCTTATCAAAAATTTAACTTAAGAATGAAAAGGACCGAATTTGTAGTCATCATGCTATATTTTTAAGTATTAGATACATATATTTTATCCAATAAACCAATAAGTCTCGAAAAATATATTTAAATCGGATTAAATGTGTTACATATTTATAGACTGTTATTATTTTAAACAGGGCGACTTCCAACTAATCACTGATTACCACAAACCAACAATAAGTCTTAAAGCTTAATAAAAAAAAACCTAAATACGCCACTGCAGTTCAATCTTGATTTTTTATTTAAAAGTTATTGTCTTGAGAATTTAAGCTGGGCTGTTATATGCAATTACTAATATTGTTATTACTTATTATTTAACAATTAAATATGAATAGTGATTACAATTTTAATAGATTTTGTTTGTTTATTTCCAATATTTCCATTTTCCATCATATTAATGTAAAATATTCAAAAATATTTTCTGAAAATAATATACTCGACAAAACAAATATACATAGTAGTACGTTAGTTACCTGTGTAATATATCGCACTGATTTTTATAAATTTTATCTACAATACAATATTGAATGTATAATATATTATTATGTTAAACTGAAATTTTAATTTTCGTAATTTATAGTAAATTTGTCTAAGGAAATATTTTTATCTAAAATCAAAACGAAAAGAACCACTTATGGATTATACATTAAAATTGGATTATAGATATTATAATAATATGTCAGCGCATAATACAATTTTTCATGTTCTCTCTCAGTTTCACTTAAAACATAAAAAATGTACATTCTGTTTTTAATTGCTATTTTTATTCTTGTAAAATTCTGAAATTCATTATTTTTTTGTAATATTTGTGATGATAAAAAATGCTGTTAATTGTATATTATATAAAATGTTTTGATCAATCTTAAAACACTATTATTGATTCAATTTATTCTCTAAGTTATTTACACTGGTACTAATATCTTGTCCATAAACTTATAGAAAACAAATTAATTTAGTTATATAAAAAGAACAATAAAACGTTCATATTACAATTATACCCAAGAGTATTTTATAGTGTTGCAATGTATTACATCAAACAAGAAATAACACATAATATTTAACAATAATAATTGTCACAAGCAGCAACACGTCATCTGAGTATAATATATTAATTTAATGTTTATAAAAAAAAAATTACACATGTGGTCGAGAGCACACTTTATGAGTAAATTAGTGACGGTTTAAAAATACGATTTATGAGGGAGAAACAATACAACAGAATTTTCTATATGTTTAAGGTGCTTGGGTCTTACTTTCCTTTATTATTTAATTAGTTTTTACTTAATATTTGTTTTAATTTATTGAACACATGAGTGTGGTTTTATTGCATTGTGATGAGTTTTCCACTTTCTGTCCGTCCACCACCATCCTTGCAATTATTCCGCTTTCTTGATGCGGAACTGTCTAGGATAGAGCTGACCAAAACGGACAGACATTCTTCAGTCGTTCAATAAAGATTTTCCGGCACGAGTCTGTTCGTCAATCTAGTACAGTCGCTCATGCAAAATCGTTGTTTTTTACTTAAGATACTATTTTTTCTCTCATGATATATTATTTTAAATTAATAACAATACCATAGAGCAGTTTATTTGATTATTTATGTGTATAAGTGTTACTGTGTGGTTTTTTTTTTTTAATCAACCAAAAATAATTTAAAAAAACAGAATCATTATGGCAAAATTAAATAGCATGGTAATACAAATAGATCTATATTTTACTACGGAATACTCTGTTTAATTTATTACTTATAAATTGTGGTTTATAATAATATCAACATTTTAATATGAAATTGTTGAGCTGTCATAGTTTTAACTAAAAGTTCTAAAAAAAAATAAATAAAAAAAAATAACTAATAATAATAGTATTAAATTACATTGACACTTAAGAAATTAATTTATTTTTTTTTTAGGTTATTTTTTGCTTAGTTCAACTAACGCTGAGCGAAGATCGAATATCCGTGGATACAGTAGGTACAATAACAGCTACTGCCGGTTATTCTATAGCAGATAATCATTCTCCTACAATTAAAAGTCTGACTTCAAGTATAGAATTTTCTGGTGATCACGATTCTTCTAAAGAGACGTCTTCGTCAAGTGAAGCTTATACGTCATTATCACCTGGCGTCCGAAGTTCACAAAGCTTGTCATTACGATCCAGACAAGCCAGAGGCAAATCGTCGAGCCAGATGTGGAGCGCTGAAGAAAAAGACCATGATAATCCATCTTTTTCATTGACCGATCATCGAATGAATGAACAACTATATAATGTCAAGCCTCAAACATTTGACAATCAATCACCACAGTCATCAGATGTAAAGAGTAATGAAAGTGTCGAGAAGTCTGTGCCATCAATCACGTATGGAAAAAAGATGCATAAAAACGATGAACACGACGATCGGCCAGTTTTCAACGATTGGTCCCAAGAAGTGCATATGGCATTTGACAACAACAAATCAATTAGATCACGCCGAAAGAATAAACACCAATTGGACACTGAACAAGAAAAAAGGAAAACGCAGAACAAAAAATTAACGGAAGACAGTAGTAATAATAAAGATGGCTGGCAAGAATTAAGTCCCAATATGGAAATCGCTACTGGCATTATTACATCAGTTCAAGAGCATGATTCTTCACGAGAATCATCTGGTAGTTCAGGTATGAAAAAAATAATTATTAATATAAAAATAATTTTTTCACAAAAATTATTACTTATTACTTATAAAAATAAGAGTACAATAGTTAGAAGTTAATGGTTAAAAAAGCAATAATTGAAAAATCATCAATAAAATATACCTGCATTGTTCGTATCAATTTATTTAATAAAATTAATAATTCAATATACTCGTAATATAATGAATATGGTTCTATAACTATTTAAATAAATATTTTTTATTAATAAAAATGGACCAAAAATCTATTTTTTAAATATTATTGTATAATGTATAAATCATATATTTTAATTTTTATTATTAAATACAAGTATGTATTTTATACAACTATAATAGGACTATAACATTAAATATTTGTTCAACTCAAATCTTGCTTGTGATTAGTTCGAAAAATTAATTAAAATCTATTAATGCTTAAAAAACATATATTTTATTCTTTTGCGTAAAATGTGCTAAATGTCAAATTCGAATAAATTAAAAATGTCTTTAGTTATTTACATAAATTGATAAATATTATTTATTATAATTAATATTGGACTTAAAATAATAAATTGGTAAAATAAATTTGATTGTGAGATGAATATAATTATAAATATAGTTATAGATGTACATTTTTGAAACAACTATTAAGATAATTTTTTTTTCACAAAAATATATTAGTCACTATGAACATACAAACTGTAAAATGGCTTAATTGCTATAGGGAAGTAAATATAAATTAGCCAAACTAAAAGGTAATGTTAATATTGAAAAGTAGATAGTCATTAATATTTTATCCTAAATAGTATACATGAAATATCTTTTAATACTATCAAGACTACAGCAATTAGTTTTTTTTTAAATTTTTTTCAGAAAAACTATACAAATTTAATAATACTGAAAACATAAACTTAATCTACTTTCTTTTCACATTAAAAAAATGAATTAATTAAAATTATTTTTTTTTTATCAAGATTAATGATTTTCATTGAAGTTGATATAGTTCTTTTCAAAATAAACATATATTCTATTTACAAATAAATTTTCAATAAAATGCAGATTTTAATATCTTTGATACACTATTAAAAGATGCTAAGATACCAACCTTTTTCTTTTTAATAACACATAACTATTATTTACTTCAGCTCTTTTACAAAATGTATACCCAATATGTACATATACAATGTAACATATAACTAAACGAGTCTCGTATTACGGGATATTTATCTTTTAATTAAAATATATGGTGATATGAAATTAGCATATAAATTTACTCTTGTTAAAATATCTCGGCGAGTCTATTAAACCATAATAAAATGTGTTTCTTGTAAAATGTGTAGATACATTTTGGTTTTTATAAATATTTCATTTTAATATTATCTCGTCATATGAATATATTATAATATATCAATGTATGGTCGTATTGTATAGCTAACGATTAGTACTGCGCGTTAAGCACGCGACCGAACAAATCGTTGTTTGACATTTAATTACGAAGGAAAAGTGTTAAAGATGAGGGTATATATATTACATTATAATCGAAACAATAACACGTCGGAGGTACATTTTATACGCTGTCATCGTATTTGATGACGACAGAGACTAAAAAAAAATTAAAAAATAACTTGTAATATCATTATTTTATTATCGATTACTACCAAGAACCGCTGGCGGTGAAAGTGTTTAGATCTTCAATTTTTTTCGTCGTTGACATTTTAAAAATGAATAATTTTGATTTGTTTTTTTTTTTGCTTCACGCGTTGCTGTCGCAGAATTGTTCAAGGCCATTCGTAATCCGGACCTGTACCACGAGGACAGAATTTCCAGCGTGGAGGACGACGTACACCAGACCGAACCGCCGCAGAACTTCGACCACAAGCAGGTGCTGTCGAAAATGAATCATTTCGACTTCAGCAACGCCGTGTCGCAGGCCAACAAGACGCCGCCGCCCAGGGAGAAGCGGTTGAACTACTTGCAGCCGGGCGGCGGCGGGAGCGGCCCGCCGGTGGCCAGGTACCCGTACACCGGCGGCGGGCCGCTGCAACAGCCGTCGCAGGTGCAGATGGTCGGACCCTCTTCGCAGCCGCACTCGGCCGCAATCAACGCAGCCACCGCCGTCAAGTCCGTGAAAATCGAACAACCGTCGGCGACGCCCAACTACCACAGCATCGTTGTTCCCATACCCATATCGCACCAGATGTACGCGTCCATCGGCGGCGACTCGTCGTCCCCCGTCCACGGCCACCAGTTGGCCAGCAGCACTGTGCAGCAGGCGATGATGTCACTGCCGGTCGTGCACAACGTGTTCTTCAAGACGGACGAGAACGGCGGCGGCAAGACCATGCCGGCCATCGTGATACCCCTGAAACCGGAATACCTGCACCAATTGCAGCAACAGCACTTCGCGCACGCGCAACAGCAACAGTCGGCGGCCGACGACTCGCTGAACGCTGCCGGACACCAGCGGCCGGTGCACCAGGGGGCCAAAGCGTTGCAGTTCCAACAGCTCCACCATCAGCAGCAGCAGCAACAGCCGTCCACGTCGGCGTCACCGTCGTCGCTGACGCCTTCGCCGTACCCGCAAAAGCCGAAAGCCGCCAAAGTGAAAAAACCGTTTGGCCTGCAGATGAAGGACAACGACCTGCAGCACCGCGTCAAGCAGCCGTTCGGCCTGCAACATCAGTTCTACAACAGCCCGTTTGTGGGCGGAGGCGGAGGCGGCCACGTGCAGCTACACCACGCCGGTCACCAGCAGCAACACGGCGGCGGCAGCGGCCAGCAACACCCGCAGCACGATCCGTCCGACGACTCGCGGTACGCGCAGACAGGCGTCGCGCCCGATTCCGTCCCCATCCACTCGTTTCCGGGCACCGGCCACCCCATTGTCGTGAAGCGGCCGCACGCTTACGGTTACGCGTCACCCGCCTCCCCGACGTCGACCAAGTACTCGCAAGCCGTAAACAAGCCGCCGCAACTGCACCATCACAGCCACAACAACCACCATCATCATCACCACAACAACAACAACAACCTGCACCATCACCATCAACAGCAGCAACAGCAACAGCAGCAACCGTCCACTGAGGAGCTGGCCACGGCCATCGCCCAACAGCAACTGTTACAGCAACCGTACAAGGCGACCACGTACCATCCGGGTTACGCGTACCTCAACGGGCCGGATGACGATTTCCCGTACAAGCCCATTTACAAGGACATGAACAAGCGCAACGACGTGCTGGTCGTCCGGACCGCCTGAGGCCGATGAACGACGGTCTGATTTCACACCGACCACCTATTACCTATACATTACCTATTATATTTTATGCGCTATAATAGTGTTATTAATTATTATAATTATACACGTATACGTAGGCAGACACGTTGGCGCCTTGGAGTGAGAAGGTTTGAGCAGGAAACACCCGTGACATTTTTTTGTTTTTTCATATTTCGGTATCACCTGTTTTCGTTCGCATACTATACAATTACGTAAATTAATAATTACAAAAAAGAAGAACCCTCCAACATAAATATTTCCTCGTGTGCGTGCCCGTGTATGCGCATATATTATATTATATACGTACACCTATATGTCCTGTATAAAGACTAAAATGCTTAGATAAAATAACGTAAATTACTATTGTTATTATTTTTATGCGATAAATTATTATTTTAAGTATTTCTATATTATGTTTTATGCAAAATTGTGTTTATTGAGTCGTATTATAGTAACTATATATTATAATATATTGTGCAATTCGCCATAGTATTCGCGAAAAATAAATCAATATATAATATTACACATACATAATACTTCGAAAGAATCTAATATTTTTATTCTAATCGAATTCCGTTTTAAAGGCACACCATCGATAAACACAGTAGATTATGCTGCAGCAACCTACTTAACCTAATTATCTTCGAACGGTTATGTGTGCATACTTTCGATTTGACTGCAATATTACGAATAGTACAAATATCCAAAGTAAGAAATTTCTCGACGACACGTGGTCTTCAATAATAATATAAGTCTAGGTACGATGTACATTATGGTTTATGGTCAAATTCTGCAGACACACTTCTGTATTGTTTTTATCCCTCTCATCCCCCTTCCATTTCATACAACACCCTTAAGTGGATAATCGTTGCTAAATTTTACGCTTGTGAAATGTCTCGGCTGTGTTTGCGTTGCTTTCACAGATATATATAATATAATTATGCATATATATACACAAAATATGTCCGTATTATTCCAATTCGTCCATTAAAATGCGATTTCCAAGAGAAATGTAGTAGAATTAGTGTACCTACAAATTGAGTAAACATACATTAGTATATATATATATATGTATGTATAGTAAATGGTCATTGCAACAATTTTTTTTTTTTTAATACTATCAACGAAATGAAATGCGAACACACCGATTTACGCACGATTATACCATCTTGCGAATCCGTTACGATGTTATTTCGTCCGTCATTATTCGAAGGAATAGTATCATTATTCCATATACATGCCCATTAATAAAATATCAAATTCGTTTCAAAGTCAACGGACCTTGTCGTTTTCATTTTGTAAATGCTGTTACTTCGCATGACCGCGTGTACCTATGCAGTTAATGATTCGAACGGTTAATATTCATGTTTAAATATTAATATCGTACGATAGATATTATATATTCTTATTTCTATACATGCCTAGTGGTTTTATTTTTACGATATTAAAAATAAAAATGTATTTACTTCTTATTTTTATTAAAACACTAAAATACCTTCCACTAAATAACTGATTAATAACCTATTAAAATGCATAGTGTTGAGTTACTACACTTTCATTATTTTATTTACTTTTACAAGTGGTGCACTAGTGATTTAGATACAAACAATACGATAGATATAATTGCTTGTAAAATATAATACGGTATAACCTATATTTTATGACATAATATTATCTTCATTGTTTTGTAAATAGAAAGATACGAATATGATCTTATCTCTTGATAAAATTTAAAAGAAATGCAATTAAACGTAATTTTAAATAATATTTATAAAATTATTGAGTATTAAGCGAATAAGAACCAAATGATTATGAAAAGATGGCAAACCATTTACAGTTATTCTGTTATATTATAATGCTTTAAATTTCGATAAGGGTGGATGATTATAATAAACCGTATCGTAGTCAAGTTATTGAATTGCAACGATTCAATTGAAAAGCTTTTTAAAAAGAATTATGACTGTCACTTTATCAATATTTTTATTTTAACTTCTATTAATTTAAATAGGTATTCTGATTAGATATGGACAAAAACAAATCAAATTTAACTGTTTTTTTTCTTATCGTTATTCAGTTATTGTACGTATTAATATTAAACCGGCAGAAACAGAATTTCTTTTTTTAAGCTTTTAGATTAGTTATTTTTAAGTAACATTTGATAATAATAAAATAATTGTGAAACTAAGAATTATACTACACTTCTACAATTTAATTCAGCTAGTAATTTGTTATGTATTTATATGTCTCGTGTTTTTTTTTTTTTTTTTATAATAAATAGTAATAGTGTCGTGATTTGCAATACAATTACGCGGTCGATGTCATAGTGACATTGACGATGACCGATGTGTGTGGAACATCGTAATGCGCATACAGAAAAATATACATATGTATTTAATTTATTTAGATTATATATATATATATATTAAATACATTTTACAGTAATGCCATCTAATAGTATAAGGCGCCTGAGCACGAAAACGTGAAATTTAATGATTTCATGCTTTCCCGTGCCCGCCTGCCAGAAAAATATACAAGGTCCGACAGAGAAATATATACTCATATACGCATTTTCGGACGATTCACTTTCAATGATTACCTCAGCTCGATGAATTCGAGCTAAACGGATTTATACATTCCCGCATTGAAACGCGGACCGCGTTCTATATCATATTATAGAAAGTGAAATTCACCGTACGCACGGCAAACAGTTGTAATTAGGATTCCGTTATTATTTTGATCATATTATACTAAGAATGGTTATTTTAATATTACACAATCAATATTTAAATTACAAATTTTTCTTATAATTTTTTTAGGTACGATCTAGTTTATTTCCGTGAACTCTTAGACTTACTCAAAACATGTAAAAGGTAATGTTTTTATAATATAAAGTTATTAATTTTAAGTCATTACACTTGATATTTAAAATTTAGTATAATTCTTTACAACACATGGCATACAGTATTATTTTTTTAATATATTTAGAACTTAAATTCTTAATCTATGAATTTTTTCAAGTTATATTTATATTTAAAACTATATTATGAGTAACTTAAAAATAATCACCCTGTATACTGAAATAGACTACAAATTATACTATGACGTATCCATATTGTAATAATAATAATAATATTATGTATGGCATATTTTTTTTTTATTGTTATATTTTATTTCATTTCAAACAATAATACTTTCGACACGGTAAATAATGAAATAACGATTGTGACATGTTCCAAAGGTAATGAACTGATACACTGGATACTGGACATCATCATTAACCGGCGTTAACAATTCTGTACTTGTCAAGTATATATTGTAGCTTCGTAGATTTGTAGTTCATTATTTTTTTATTCCATTCTGAAATATTCAATAATATTATAATCAACACACTTTTTAAAATTATTACTGATAAATGACGCGTGAAATAAAAATATTTTTTTTTCTTTTCAATACCACGGTATACCATGATTGAAAAATAGTAATTGCTGACAATAATCAATTTTACAATTTATATTTAAATAAAGCACAGTGTGTTATATACAAGTTATCTGTTTTATTGTACGCAAATAATTAAAAACAATACTGTATACGCATGGGCAGTCATTTAATTGCTATTTATACCAAAGTTTGTAATATTGATTGATGGTACTTATCACGATATTTATTTATTTTTTTAGTCTACGCACAAAACTATTTTTGATAATATGTTATCATTGTAAAAATATAGAAATTATTAAAATTATATGAAAAATAGCTTTATGAATAAAAATATAAATTATATATTTGAGTTATGCAAATAAATTATCATGATAATATGAGATTATGTATGCTATCTTATAATCGATAAAATAGTGTAAAAAATATAATATTTGCTAAACCGATTTCTCAATAAATATTGTACAATATTATATAAAACCATCATATTTAAATTTTGTATCAAATATAATAAATAACATACTGTAGTAATATTATTCAAAATGTAGATATAATTATTTATAGATTACTTACTTTATTAATAAATTAATATTATACATTAAATTTGAAAATTGAGCGTCTCCGTGACAATACTCCTTAAAATACATATTAAACGATATAAGATTGTTTACTTAATAGAAGTGTCTAATACTCAAATGTGACATGCATATTTTTTCATTTCTACATCCATTCCCGTATCAATATTTAAATAATAACTATAATATTTAATAACATAATATCTTACATAATAACGATTGGTATGACAGTTAAATAAAAATAAAGTAAGAACATTAGTGAAATATTTACACACATCATAATAACTTTATTTGTGTATGCTCTAAACTTCAACTAATTAGTACATATTTTGTCATATATATTATATAATCGATGGTACGAAAATATTATATTATTCAACATCATTTATTATAGTTTTTAAATTTCATAATTATTCATAAACAAACAATGAATTTGAATTGTTATGTAAAGACTACGATATATTATTATATTATATGTTAGTTCAATTTGTAGTAATCACTGTACAAGACATTAGGTAGGTACCACATTAATTACACTCTTGATCGGCTTGAGATGGTTGTGAGAAGATATTATGTAGCTTACTAGAATAGAATACGTCTTGTATTTTACGGTACGACTAAGTTATAATAATTTATTAATACTTTAAACAGTTTAAAATTTAAACAATAAATCAAATAAAAATAGCTAATTGCTATGTAAAAGTTACTAGTTCTTGGAACAACTAAGTACTCGCGGCGACGTGATTATGGCAAAGTCCACGACGAGCAATCGTTTTTAAAAAACAAAAAGGTACTGTGACTATTTTCTGATAATTATTTTATTAGTAGGGATGCTCTTACTCGTGTTAATATGAGTTAAAATAATTACGCATGTTGGTTTAATGGCCTTTTAATAATATGCTGATTATGGAAATATTACGTGATTTTATCGTTAGTAAAAAATAAATATACTATTCAGCGGAAATTGGAAAAAAACATGATGTATTTTTACCCTTAGATCTCCTTATTTCTGGGAATGCATATTCTACTAGTATGTGCACCATAATGCTAATTATGAAATTATATCTAATGCATTGAAATAATGTATTTAATATATAAACTATATTTTTGATTTGCTACAAATGTGTAGGTAACATTTTTTCTGTTTTATTATTACGGTATAGTGATATGAATATATGATATTTATTTACTAATGAACTGTTATAAAATTATTACAAGTTCCTTTTATTTGGAGTAGAAGCATGATAAAATCAGATATTACTTTGTTTAATACTTTCTATTTTATTTTAACTTCAAACTTACTAGTTTCATCTTATCCCAATCGGTAGACTTAATTTAAAATTATTCTAAAATAAATACAAAATATTAACATATTATTACAATATTGTTTTTACTCACAGGTTATATACTAGATATTATAGGATAAAAATGCATTGTTTATTAATTATTAAAATAATAATTCACTTTAATGACGTAATAGATACAAACAATAAAAATTAAGTAAAAATAACACCTAAAAATGTAGGAGTAGGCAACACAACGGTTCTTCGTGACGGAGTATATTATATTTTTATAACAATCATTCTTTACCATAAAAAAATCTACTATTCGCCTAATAAATAACTGCATATAAAACAGAACTATTTAGTACTTACATAGCTAATTAAAATATTTAAGTAATTTTCAAGTTGGCTAAAATAATACTAGTTGTTATAATAGCTATAAAAAGTTTGGAAAAATTTAATCATAGGTCAATAAATATTTAAATTTAGTATTTAAATAGACAATAGTTCACACTGCAAAAATTGGCAATTATTTTGACTGAATAATTATTTTAATATTATAAGCGAAGTAATTTTACTTATAGAGGGCGCTGCTTGAATTTGTTTTCATTAATAATTTTAATATTTTTTCGGAGAATTTAATATTTATTTTGTTTTTGATAAAAAACTCAAAAATATATGCACATACCTATGCTGGTATCTAATATCTCACGAGGCAATTTAAAACTTTTTCATAATTGGTTGAATTAATTTAATTTTTTATATGTTTTATAATTAAATACAAAAACAAATTAGAGAAGTAAAAATAAACACAATAAAAGACATTTTATTATTAAAAAATATTATAACCATAGGATATGGAGCGTATGAATTTTTCAGTATTTTGTTTCCTAATCGATACATAATAAGAAATAACCAGGAGAATAAAAAGTTGTCCAACAAAATGTGTAATACAAAATACAAAGATATGTATTCTTTAAAACTGCTTATAGCATTAATTTAATATACATACAGTATAATTTATTGCTATTGTTATTTTATTATTATTATTATTATTATTATTCAATCAATGTTTATAGTAAAAAATCTATTTTGCCACGCTAATCACTGTTTAAAATATTTTTTCAAACTTACGTATTTCAATAAATTAAGAATGGCAGTAGGTACAGTCAGAATTTATCAGTTAGCCTTAGTTATATGTTATATCTACTAGAATTTTGTTAATAAATACCATTTTTTATCTATTATAGTACCTATGGCAAAATCGTATTATTTGTATTGATATCGACTTTACCAACGATTAGAATATAGAGGTATAGATTAAAATAAATAATGTAATATTTTAAAATTAAAACGTATTATGATAATGTGAGTAAGTAATTAATAATTTAAACAAAAGTAAATAAATTGACAAATTGTCACAATGTAATGTACTAAGTGAGATAAAGTGTGAATTCTATTTCGGAATGTACAGAATAGAGATGCAAAATAGATTAATATACGAGGACGAATCTATATGTTTTATCTCTAATATTATTAAATACTATCTGATTAGCGGATAACTCCCGTTCTGTTTTATTCAAAACAGTTTGACGATTACAAATACCGAGAAAAGTTCATTATAGATCACTATTATATCGATAAAGGCATTTTAAGAAACGGCAAATATGTGACAATAACAGTACGTGTACCTGATGGAAATTTTGATCTTAGGTGAATTACAGTCCTCCCTCGCCTGCGGTACGAGCATAAATCAGTAGCGTCATTTTAGTTTTTAATAAAGGAGGGAGGGCAAAAGTTTTTGACTGGTTCAAATAGGTAATTAACAAAAAAATAATCAGTATGATTGAAACCAAATTTCTACTCACACTTTTATTAAATTACTCTTACCGCCTTGCATATTTTATAATTTAAATAATTTTTCTCTAATCTCTTCACAACAAAACATTTTTTATTAACTAATTACATCATTTATAAATTTAAAGTAGCAGATGTTTTATATTTTATTTTAATTAAAAATATTTCTAAGCTATTAATGGATATTTTTTTATTTTTATTTTTGAAAATCTACTGTGCAGACATAAAACCACAGGATATATTACATTTAACCAGTTCTACGATTAAACTATATATTTACTTAATATAAATGATATTAATAATGTTATTGCTATTATACATAGCCACATAGGTACAATAGTATAATGTTCCTTTTTTTTCACCAACTCAAACACGTGAACTTACATGCAGGTTCTCGTGCGTCTATGGCTGGATAGATATGCATCTTTCACCATAATAAGACTCAGCTCGTCTTGCCGCCCTTCTCCCCCCCCCCCAACACCGGCCCTGCGAACAGTGCAATGAAATTGCAATGGATCTACTTCCGTCATGATATTTTTAACTAACGAAGCTTATTCACGTATCTACACACTTATTACTGATCGTTCACACTGATATAAATGTATTGAACATCATTCTTCAACTTAACTGGGGATTGGCATCAATAACCGGGGAATGTCTACATTTACAACATTACCAATTTTTAGGTAAATGATGTAATTTACCACATTTACATCATTCACCGTAACATAATATATAGTGTTCACAGTTACCTTCTCGAGTTATAGATTCTATCTTCTGCTACTGATATTCAAGTTATTTAAAATTAATAATATTCACTTAATTATTGTGTGTTTGTGTTAAAATATCATATATGTTTATACTATGTTCCTATATGGCTATACAGCTATATAATAAATTACTGTGGAACTCTCTATACAACGAAATATTTTATGGCACCATAAAACTTTCAATCAAAAACGTTTCTATTCAACAAATATATCTTGTGTTATTTTTCTATAACAATTTTAAGAACTATAGTATTTTTACATATTTATAAAGTACACATTTGTCAATGAGACTTATTTAAATAAGTGCGATCATTTTTAAAGTCGGAATGGAACACAAGTTGTTTAACAGGCGATATCAGAAAATTATTCAATAAGAATGCATAAAAAATGTATAATTTACGTATTTGATGAAATTATATTTAAATTTAAATAATTATATTTTTAATTTTAATTCATTTATTAATATTATTATTTTACATACATTTCGTACACCTAAATGAATTTTATTTGAAAAATATATTATTTCATTTTAGTTTTTAACAAAATTTCTATTTAATAAATATTTTTCAAAAAACCTTGAATGTGTTACTGTTTAAATCTTTATAAATTTCGTTTAGACAAATATGTACTAGCTGTAATAAAGTCCTGCAAAAAAAAGACATCGCCAAACAAACTGGATATTGTAATATAATTAATATTAAATTAAGTAATAGGTAACTTATAAACAAAAAAGTAATAAATAAATAGATAAAAATAGGTAGTTAATTTAAATCTTTAAGGTAACTTGATTTATTTAACATCAAAGCTGAGTTTCCGAAGCCTCATCGTTAATATGATTTTATCATACAGGGCATACCCTATTTATTCTTAATTCTTATTATGTATTATATTATTCATAAAATAAACCTGCAGGGAAGTAACAATTAATCTAAATTGCATACAAAATTATTTTTTTAGTTTTTTAGTTTTTGTTCACATAAGGAATGGCCATAATTAATGAGTAATGGCCAATACAACCTAACCTCTATCATAACATTTATTAAAGTCCTACATTTTTCCGGGAAGACAAACATTTTTCTCTATGGCGGAGGAAGTAATACCCCCTCTCGAAATAAACACTGTATACGTGTATAATATTATCTTTAATCGAACATATCGTAGATACTAAACAAAAAAAATGGCGTGATAATTGCAAAGCGGTAAAATTAAGGTGTTGAGTATAAGTGATAAAAAAAACTATACCAGATGTATTCACCTAATATGTTGCTCGTTTTAAAAATTAATGAAAAACATATAATTTTAAAACACAATTAGTAAATTCTGACCCAGTTTTCAGTTCGTGTCTTTAAAAAACCAATGAAAAATAATTATGTAACACATTTTTTTTTTTTTTGTGGAAATAATCGTGTTTTATTCTTTGTTCTTATAATTGATTGATTGTTATTGATAAAATACAGACTAGTTAACAAAGTTATAGTACAATAAAAAATAAGGTAAAATTAAAAAAAAAATAAAATAAAATCATGTAAATGCACATTGATTTAACGTGAACGATCAGTCCAATTATCATCAGTACCGTAACACTTCTGTGCTTACATAATTTACAAACATTTATGTATATATAAACGCATGTGTACTTAAAAAAAAAAAAATTTTTGTAAGTCACGTCGTATTATCTAAAACAAAAAATAAACAACGATTAAAAAATAAACCGCATACCGTTGCATCGTTGACCGTTCAGTTTACGGTGCATGTCGGTGACATATAGCCACAGACAGGTTAGGTATACATGTAAAAATAGTTAAGTCGATTGGGTTATAGGTCAGGTTAGGTAAGTATAGAACCTAAACACAGCCCAGCCACGTTATGCGTGGTACGACTTATATAACATATTTTATGGCTTGCGTATACGGTTGTTACCAGCCACTGAGCCACTTGCTCCACTTGGGTTCGTGGTAAATGTGCTTGATCTTGTACACGGGCACAGGGTACGGTCTGTCGACGGGCACCGGGACTTTCTTCTCGATGTGCACGGGATAAGGCTTGTCGACTGGGTACGGCACGGGTTTCTCGACCGGGTACGCAACAGTCTTGACGACCGGCACCGGGTATGGCACACGCACGGCGACCGGTTGAGGTACGCCTACCGCGATCGTCCTGTACACTGGAACGGGAATGGCGCGGTTGATCTCTACGTGTTGTGAGATGACGTGTTCGGGTCCGTACGATGGGGCGTATCTGAAAGATAGAAAGATTTGAAAAAAATGATTTGTTCAACACTGTCGTAAGTTTGTTATTGTATAGGTTATGAGGTATATTGATCGGTTTTTTCCACTTCCACTTGCAAATTTGTTGTTATTTTTGAGCGGTTTTTTTTTCAACATCTTATAATAATTTTACATATTTTTACACATTTTTTTTTTTTTTTTTTTTTGTACAATTTTCCTCATTGTTTATCTCAATAGACGTTTTCACGGACTTGTACTCACTGTGGCGATCGTCATCTATACAACTAAATAATTGGTCGCGGCCTACTGTCAACAACTCGTCATTTCCGTTTAGCGGAATCGATTACCGAATAACGATTATTACCATGAAAACGTGTCCTGCCACGCGCTGTAATGTGATCACAGATGTGTTACGTGGTTATCGAGTGCGCAGTTTACACAATATTTATAGTATAATAATATGACAAACAGATAGACGTTAAACCTAATGACATTTTAATTTATAGAGATGCAAAACGAGAGAAACGTACGTTGAAACAATTTCAAAAAATATCATGAAATTTCGACTTTCGAGTCGGCTATTTATATTAACTCATTTCCATTTACAAAACAGTTGCAGCGAATAATATAATATTATAAATTATTAAAATTCAAAGCATAATAACATGCAGATTGGCTTTCTACGTGGATGGACCTTGCTACAATATAAAAATATAAAAATAACACGTTTATAAGATATTTACGTAAGGTTTTGGTTTTCTCTCATTCCGTCATTTGATATTTACATTTTCTTAGAATTTTTTTTAGTTATTACGCGTACCAAAAAAAAAAAAAAACTGTTTCGATTATTTACAGTCACACGACTAACCACGCGAATACACACCGTAATTTTTTAAAAGATAAGTCCGGCTAGTTCGGGACACAGGCTAATCACTGAGCCACTTGGTGGGGATTTTTTAGTATCGGCGTGACTATATACCTACCTTCTATGTACGAACAAATTATCTAATAACAGTTTTTCAATTATGTGCGGCTGAACTGTAAAGGATATGATCGCGTCATGCGTGTAGTACGACTGACAATGACCACCGGAGAAGGACGAAAAAGAATGTCCTAATCAATTTAGTTCGCGAACTGAACAGGGCGGGTGACACACTACTCACAACAAGTATCTACGCTTAAGGTATTTACTTACTCGGAAACTGCGGGATATGCGGACGGTCCGTATCCGTAGGCGGCAGGTGCAGTGGCGATGCCCACCGGTGCGGCGGCTGCGGCGTAAGCTGTGGGGCCGGCGTAAGCTGTGGGGCCGGCGTAAGCGGCTGGAGCGGCGGCGTATGCGGAAGGAGCGGCGGCGTATGCGGAAGGAGCATAACCTTCGGCAGCTGCGGATGGTGCATATGCTTCGGCGGCTGGGGCGGCGGGTTGGTATGCTTCGCCGCCGGCAACGGCTGACGGGTATGACTCGTCCGCGCCGTAATCTTCGACTGCGTCGCGTTTGATGGTCTGGTGATCCTCTGCTGGCTGTTGGTCCTGTTGCACCTTTTGGGTCTGTTCGGTCGACGCGTCTTCCGAGCACGTGGCCATGGCTGCCAAACACGCCACACCGATCAAAACCTGTCAAAGTGTATAAGCACGCAAGTTTATTGTACGGTTGATGATAACCACGCGTTGGACAGTGGTTTTCGTTAATATTAGATTAAATGCACACACAACTGTTGTGTTTTCGTGCTGATCGTGGGTATCGTGGTTGCTTTGGACTGTCGTAAAATATACATTTAAAAAAAAAAAAACGCGATAAAGTTAATTTCAGATTGGCTTGTTTGTACGTAAATCGTAGTCATTTTCGGTACACACATTAATTTTTCACTAGGGACCCGTGGCTTAACACTAACTATAAATTTCTGAATTATACGCCCGAGAGTTAAAAGTGTTACTTAACTAAAAAAAAAAAACAAAAAATAAAAAATAGTAATGATAATACAGAAAACTCACGTGTATTTTCATCTTGGTCGATTGAATTCGGTTCGTCTCGATGATATCAGTGTGCGCGTTGAACGATAATATTATTGCACAGGTACGATAAGAACGAACGGTGTGTGCCCCTTGCAGGTTGTTCGCACTGTGGCGTGTGCTGTTGTTGACTGACGATTTCCACGGAGCAATCGGATTTTATATACTACTTTGGTCGGGCGTATTTTTCTGTAAGACTTTCACCGGGGCAACCGGGGAGACCGTCCGGGTCCATCATCCTGTGCAGCACGCGCGCGCGTCAAACAAACCGGTCGACGGCGGGACATCCGACCCCCACGGTCCCTTGTCAACGATCGGCACGCGGATGATGTTTGGACGCGTAGCATTAAGTGTGTATGTGACATAACTACCCGGATAAACCGGTAAGTACCGATCGCGGCCTATAAGGAATATTACAACGGATGTGAAGTGTGTGAAATCACCGTTTTGTTTTTTTTTTTTTTGTGAAAAGGTGACACGACGAAACACATACGTTTAACTATAACTATAATATTACGTTGTTCTCCATAACATATCTGACTCGTCTCTACGTTGATTACTGAATATAACTGCAATACTTAAAGATTTTCTTATAAACGTCTTTCCAAAAATATTGTTCTTTTAAACTATGCAATTATTGTCAGTCTAAGTTAAAAATATTAGATTGATAAAAATTAAATTTACTAATCTGTTCGTATAACACTATTATTGAAGTCTTAAATTATTATGAGTATTATAGTTTTTTGTATATTTATATTGTAATACTGTAGTTATTTTAAATAAAAAAGATTATACATGTTATGTTTGCTACTCTTAGTAGTTGAGACAGAAAAGTTGTTAGATACCCATTACATCTTTTCGATTTTTCTGATTTAAGAATCAATATAATATAATCATTATTGTACCTATATTTTACGAAAAAAATAAATACGTAGTTATATTCAATACATTTTTATAATTTATATGAACTCTATTTGTTCAAAACCATGCATATAATATACAATACATTTAGTAAACAGAACAATAATCAAGAACTTATTTAATTTGCATAATATATAAGACGACTTTATTAAATTCAAACCTTTTATAATGTATTTCCACAAGTATACATGAATAATAAATAAAAAAATATGTACAAATAAATATTTTATAAATATTTAAATTTATGAGTGGAGCAATAAATGTATTTTTATAACATACTTAGGATAGCTACCTACAAATTTTTTTATACTGAACATACTATTATATTGATGAATCTCGCTAAAACTAAACATCTAAAAATACTTAAATTAAATACTCACTGATTAATAAGAAATTTATTTTATAAGATTTGTAAATAAAGATTATAGTACAATGATAAGAATACGTATACAATAAGAACGGGTGCACTGTTTAAAATAATAGGAAAATAGGTGAATTTAATTTTAATTTTATAATATAAATTAATATTGTACAAAAATTAAATGAAATATTAAAATAATATTATATAGAGTATAAATATTTTATTTAAATTGAATCGCTTAAAAAAATAATATGAAAATTCATGAAACTACAACCTATAATATAGGTCTCATGTGTCATTTAATCAGATGTCTTAAGCAGTTAGGCTAAACTTAATAATCATCAAAAATATTTCTGAAAACATATTTGATAAGACAGTATTATGTTTTTAAAATTATATTTTATTTTTTAATTAATCAATAACTATTTATAATTATTATGACATTTTTTACTTTGTGTACTAGTAATAATATGGGTTAGACCAAATTCAAGTGGATACAGAGCTTCTACAAAATTCAACTTATAAGACACCCCTATAAAATAAGTACCTACCTACTTAGTATTTTCACTGTTTGTAACATGTTCTAACCTGGCTATGCTCTTAATTCATACAGAACAATGTACTTTAAATTGGAATTTAAATTTACAATATAAATATTACATGATACATAAGTAACTTCATGACTAAATTTAAATTAATTAGATTATTTGAATTTACACTTGAAAATTAAACATAGGAGTGATGTAAACCCATCGTTTAAAAAAGCTTGTTGGTTGTATAGTTTATGATGTGCATTTATGCATTTGAAATGTTAAAAAGAAGCAATAGACTTGTTGAAAACTACAATGGTATCTTAAAACATATCAGTGGTACAAGGACAGATATCTTGATTTTACTATAAATTTTACAGCAACCCGCTGAGAAACTTATCGAAACCCACAGTACACCTCACCTATGTAAAAGAAGATATGGGCTAAACATATTAGTAGTTAGGGTATCATTAAGTATAATGCAAATTTAAATAAATATATTCTTTTAAGCAGTCATATAGATCATCTGTATTCTGTAATATGGGGATTTTAGACTATAAAACTATATTCAAGAATTGAAAAATAACCAAAAGCACAAAATACGCTCTATAACAAACATATTTAGCCGAACTTTTTTAACCAACCTCATAACTAAAGCTAGGGACTTATAGGAGTTTGTATGTTTTCAATAATCATTCAAAACATAGCTATGTAGTATAGAAATTTGTTTCATTTTACTAGAAGTTTAAAGCAATAATTTTTATTTAGCGTATATTGCATATTCAGCTCTTTTTCCTTTCAAATGCATAATTTGTTATTTTTGTATTTCAAATACATATTTTACATATTTTATTAAAAAAAAAAATAATAATAATATATACAGGTCTGGGGCACTGCCAAAAAATTCAAGTGTTTCAATCCAAAATTCTCAGACTTATAACCAATTGTCCTCCTTATATCTCTAATCACACCCTTCACACAGATCTCCGTATTCCTAAAGTCACTGAAACAGCCAAATTATTTTACTCTAAATTCAGAAACTGCCTTCATAACCACACGAACCCTCATGTTAAAAAGTTGCTATCCATCTCCATCCCTGGGAATCCTCCTAGAAGACTCAAGCGACAATGGCCTCAAGATCTTATTAATTAAAAATTAAAAAAAAAATCAAATAATAAAATCATAAATAAATTGTAAATTCACGCCGAAGTGCCTTCGCTGGTTGGTTCTTCTCTCAAGATATTCAAGCTCATAAACTATAATTAAATATAACCATCATTTATGCTTATTGTACTTTTTTTTTTGTACAGATTGTATAATTTTCTCGATTAAAAAAAAAAAAAAAAAAAATACTAATATATAACATAGTGAATAATATTTTATATGTACTATACAATATTTAATATTAATTTTCTAAACATTGACAAAAATAGATTAAAATGATTAAATATATATATAATCAAATAATCTATCTATTGCGTGTTTTCCCAATTATTTGTGTATTGTGAAAAACATAGTCATTAGATAAGAAGTACGTGTCAATACGATCAGTTGATGTCAATTCGTCTGTTAGTATCATATGTATTTTCGTCTGGTTTTAATATAGTTAGTATAATATATTTTAGACTAAATATAGTTTTTTTTTAAAGTGAATCTTAATTTAAAAACGCCTTGTTTAATAATAAATACATTTATAGTTTTTGATATTTTAATGAAAAATAAAATATTTTTAATAACTTATTTTAACGTTCTTGCATATTTTTAGAGAATATATTATAATTTTTAAGAATGTAATGTATGCATACTTTAGAGCATGAAGTTCCTAGCCCTACTTATAACAAAGCCAAAAGTTTTAAAAACCTTACAACACAAATAATATTATACTTGGGAACAGTAATCAAAGTAACTAATTCAAGTTAAATTCCACAATAAAATTCAAAACGGGGGGGGAGGAGTGTTGCAGTCCCACAATGGTAAAAAACTTCCGATTAGGTATTGATGATCGAATCTTAGCATTAATACTATTATGAATTAGTTATTGCATATTAGAGTGAGAATGTAAATGGTGCACCAGTAGTTACTAATCAGTATCATATCAGTACTATATTGAATAACTACATTAAATTCTGAAATACTCATTTATGTAGTACTTTCAAAATTGTATACAAAATAAATGGCCATTTTTATGGTACTAATTAATATATAAGTATCACGTAATAATATATTTACCTAACTTAAAGTAACTTATTTTTCAATAATCAAACGCATATTTTGACATTTGACGTCACGATAAAAACAAAATTTTTTTTTTTACAAATATTGTTCCATATAAAGTCGAGTTTAGTTTAAGAGAAAAAAGTACTTTTACCGGTTATATTTACACTTTCTATTGTTTAAAACTTCCATAAAATGTATTTTATAATTACAGCAAATAAGTTCCCTTATTTAAACAATAATTAATATTAACTCAAATATTTCAATTCAAAAGAAATATATTCAAAATATTTTCAGCATTATCTATTTAAAAAAAAAATATCTTACGTAACTATTAAATAAATCAAAAAATACCATTTTAATGACATTTATAAAGGTATTAAATATTTAAATAAATATATTATGTAGTTAGTTTTAGTTATTATTATAGTATCTACATTATTGTATTGATAATAACTCAAGGACTTAAAAACTATTTATATTTTAAACAATTATATTTTTCTTCAATAAATACAAAAAATTTTAACTAGTACTTTTAAATTAAAACTTTTGAATAACTAAACTTAATCTTAACAATTTTAGTTAAATTTTTATTCATTCTCATATTAACATTTTTAACTAATAACTATAAGTACCTATCCTAGTAAAATATGATTTAATTGTAAATTGACTCTAATAAATTGATTTCTGTATAATTCTCAAAAATAATGATTAAGTGATATTTTATTGAAATAGTTTAAAATACTAAATAAATAAAATACAGTTTTTTATTATTTTTTTTACGTTAATAATTTTTAATATTTCTTAAAACACTATTTTATTCAATTATATTGATTGGATTTAGAATTTTCACATTTATTCATTTTATTACAATAATTTATTAATTTTTATTTGTTGCAGTTAACACAAAATAATTTATGATAAATAGTATTAAAATCATATATAAATATATAATGTAAATATATACCCAATTAAACACTAATATAATATGCAATTTATTTTATATATTAATTTGATTTGCTTCCTATAACCATTTATTTTATTTAAACTATTGATTATTATTATTTTCAACAAAAAAATAGAAAATATAATTTTTCATAATAATTGAGTTTAAAATGTGTAAAAGATTTTTATTAAAATATCTATAAACAATTTTTTTTTTATGCCAGATAAAATTTTTTATCATTTTAGGAGTAAAATTATTTCTGAAAAAAATATTATTTATTTGATATTTAGTTAAATATAATATGTTTTATACTACAGCAATCAGCTTTCTATCTGCAACATTAAACTTGTCACCACTTGAATTAAAAAATTCAGAAGTTACATATCCTCTACAAATGAATCGTGCATCAATAATTTACTAAATAATTTCGCCTAATGAAATCACAACGAAATAAATCAATAGCGTTTTAATAATACCATTAGCTTTGCGTTGTAGTGATATCGTAACCGATCAAGTCTATACGAGGCGTGACTAGCTGGTTTATAACTTTAAATAATGTCATTCAGTCATCCAGTAGTCTTATGAATGATGTCTCTACATTTTATGAATAAATATTATACACATAATTATTTTTTATTTACTCGTCTCTTGTATGGTTATGTCGAACTGGTTAGGTATGTCGTATATGTATAATACTTTTAATACAACTTATACAAGAAACAGTGTACAAAAATAAATAACATTTATAATGTCAACACACACCGGAAATACATTTTTTATGATAAAAACAGAAATTAAAATATGTATAGATATGAATACAGCTGATAGGCCAAACTAGTTTTTTTCAAAATCAAGAAGGTGTAATCTTAATACATTGTAGGTATACTATCAGAAATAATTTTTTCTAAAATCATATGATTTTCTTGTGATACCATTTACTTTCTATTATTATTATTCATTAAAGATGGCAAAATGTCAAAGTTTGTAACTTTTTTTAAGTTCATTATAGTTATAAAATAATTAATTCTACTACACTACTCATTATTATAGTATTACTAAACAACTGGGTACTGGGTAGATACCTATGAGTAAATTTTTTTTATAATAAATCCTATAAAATATCACGCAAAATATATTTTTTTGAATGTTTAAAGTGTTTAAACATTGTTTTCAGTGATTGGTTTATGGTTATTGTTGGTTTTCATTAACTGGAAATAAACCTCTTTTACTTTGTTTAATCTAAATTTATTGATTTTTGTATTGATTATTATTTAAATTTCATAAACAATAGATTAGCCGCTTATTGAGTATATTATAATAAAGATATGCTTTTTTTAATTTATTTACATACAATTTAATATGAATATGTTTATGTATATAATGTGTTTCAAATAAAATAAACTAAATTTTATCTAAAATGTGAAATGTTTTCATTTTAAGGTGAACATTTGTAATACCGTATACTTATTTATAATTTATCATTATTACTTATTAATATGAAAGTTAGAGACATACTACACTGAGCTATAAATTATGAGTCGGGGTAATATAAGATGCGTACATATTATACTTATATTAATTGAAAACTAAAAACAAATCGTAATATCTTAAAAGTATTTTTTTATAAATACCAAATGAATCTTCTTAATTGAGCAAAAAATAACAGCATCTTATTTAAAAAATAATGTATGTAATACAATTTTCTAACATTATAATTCATTTTCATTCAATTAACATCAAAACTGATTTATTATTATATATATATATATTATAATATACAAGAAAGAAGTTTTTTGTTACAGGTCAACTCTAAAACTATTCATTTCATCATCATGTGATTTTTTTAATTTATAGTCTATAGAGGATATCGTGGAGCAGGTCTTAAGCATAGTTTTTTAGACCCAAATTCTGTTTAAGAAATATTGAGAAATAGAATAAATCAAAAGTATTATTTGTTCAGGAAAATAAAATTAAAAAGCAATAGTAAAACTTTTTAACTTTCTAACTAGTTTTTATTATAAAGTTAAATAATAATTATCATTAGTTATTTAAATATATAAAATAAGTTAATATTCGTATATTTGCAGCTATTATAGACTTAACAACTAATCGACCGATTTTAACGAAAATTATAAGGGATGCAAGAAAAGTTTAGAAAGTATTATAAACAGCGTTAAAAATGTATCAAGTGCTATTATCGTTATTCAATACGCTGCAGGCAGAATTTATATGCTCATCTTAATAAAATTAGTTCACAAACCTAATTATTACAAAGATGCTGCAATTTTCTCCTGAAATGAAGTACCTAATTAAAACAGAGATCCTTTGATAAAGCGTTGTATTTTATGTTTATTTATTTTGTCTCGATCGAAGCATCTTATACAGTTAATTTATTAATATATTTCACTAATATTTAAATATTTTATGAAACATTAAAATCATATTATGTATTACTAATCAATTATATGTTTATTTATTTTATTTCAGCAGGTTTAACCCAATATACAAAGCAGTAATTATTATGGCGATCAATACAGTAATAGTGTAATACACTATTATAAAAATAAAGAGAAAAAACAAAGTAATAGTTAATGTTTGCAGGTTCTAATAAAATTAAAATAAGCCTACAATCATTCTTTCTTACTATACAAAAAATAATGCCCTATATATTAGTGCAAACCAAAATTTTCTATATGCTTAATTCCAACATAAAATTGTTATGATAAAATATTTTTTAATTTTAATTGTTACATTTTAATTTTATTAAAATGTTTATTAGCACACATTTTTTTGTTCTGTTCAATGATCTATCACAATTTTAAAATGGAACAATTTTTTTTTTTTACGAACATAAATAAAGGGAAAATTTATTAGCGTTTATATGTATATAGATATATAATGTATAAATAATTATACCTACTATATAATTTAATACTTGTGGTTGATTATGTCACAGAAGAATTAAACTTAGAAATAAAAACATTATAGTTTATCAGTGAATGAAACAGTGAAATTTTGTTTCAAAAAAATACTATATTCCGTTTCAATAAATGTCACTTTAAAGAATACACGCAAAAAACCGGATTTACAAGATATTAGAAGTCAACTACCTAATGCGTATCAATAAATTAGACATAATCTTTAAAAAAAATTACTCATACGTTTAAAATGTTTAAATTTATAATACATTGTTTTATGACATCCGGTATCATCGTAACAACCAACATAATATTATAATACATTGTATCGCGATTATACAGTTCCGGTTGACTGTTACTTAAACGTTTGACTTTTTAATTTTTATATAATACGTTAAAAATTATAGATAACTCATTACTCATAAAATTGCATAAGTTAAGACTTATGAAGTTTGTAATACATTTGATCTTTAAATGAAGAAATACAAAATACGCACTCTTATATTACTCTTATACACAAATAGACAATCAATATAAAGTTTAATGAATAGGAAAAACAAGCATCTACTGCTAAAATTTTTTATTTTGGATAAAATTCAACTAAAAAATAATTTGTTTTTGTCTTTGAATATAAACATTTTTGATACTAAATAGCGATAATTAATAACATGGTATTATTTAATCAAAATGAAAATATTATAGTATTGACAGAGGATATCAAAAAAATGTGAAGTTAACAGTTTGCTTAGAATTGTTTAAAAATTATTCACCTACATACATTATATAATTTAATTGGTCTTTATGTAATATAGTAAACTAATTTCGCAACAAAACTGTAGAGACCGAATATAATTTAGGATGTGATATCGTCCGGTTAAGCGTAGTTTTGACGATATGTCTTGATTATCTGTATTTAATTCTTCTTGGAGTCTATCGGCCACCTTGTCATATACCCAATCATTAAATTCCAATTTCAGTGACCGTGTTTATTTTTAAATATATTTCTATCTCAACGTATACTAATAAAATATGGAAAACAAACTACCATGTATTTTATGAATAGTCTAACGAACGTATGTAATATAATATTATATTTATCACATATTGAAAATTAACTAAATATATACTATCTACATTTCTTATCTTGTTTACTATTAAGTTTACCTGTACTAATAAAAAAACTATTTGTATTAAAAACGTTGTCATTTTTAAAAATTTGCAACATATAATCTACAAGATAATAATTCTGTAAACATACATAGTTTTAATAGAATCATCTTGTAAGAATAATTAATTGTGAAGTAATTAAAAAGATCTTATTAACTGATGAGTTGAATATTAAAGGGCATTATGTCACTTTTATAGAATATGAACGCGGAGATTTATTATTGTTAAAAATGTTAACAATTTGGTTTCGAAATGATGATAATAGGAAGAAGATCGGATAAAAATGAAAAGAAAATGTGGTTAATTGTTGTGTACTGTGTAGTAATAATAATCTTAAATACATAGAAAAATGTGGTTTCTTATAATGCTTAAGCAACCTTCTAAAACTATTGTATGATGATATGATGACAACAATAACATTTTGATAATTATATCAAGATCTTCATCAGAGTATAAAAGACAACAGATCCGTTCAAATGTGAAGTATAAGCACTTTAGCTCTCGATTAGTTAGTATAGTGATTATTTTAAAATTTTTCTATCTATACCAACTCTAAATCTACAACAACATGATGAAATCTTTAGTAAGTACAAAATTTAACTACGCTTTATATTATGTACGTATAATTTTTTTTTTTTTGAATTTATTATAACACTAATCACTAGATAGTGTTTATTATTTATAAATTTAAAAAAGATATGAAATAAATATTATTAATTATTGTCAATAAAATATTTATGTAAGTCCTATATTCTTAAACAAACTAGTAAAATTTGAATATGAACCGTGATTATTATAAATTTATTTTTTTATTTTTTTTTTTATGAAAATTTTGTCTCATTATATAGGCAGTGCTTTTATCTTGGTTTATTCTCATAGTTTTAAAAATATAATAAGTTTATAAGAAAAATCTTCACATGATGTATTCAAATTAAATTAAAGTAACACTAAATAGTAAATACTAAAAATATTAAATTTATTATGCTTAAATGTAAGTCAAAAAATTGATAAAAAATTATTATTGAATATTTAAATATCAATCTAATTAAGTCATGCCTACTTGTTAAACTAAAATAACTCAATTAATCGATTTTATAAAAATAATCTTAACTTTGAAAAATGCATTTAGGCATTAATCATGAATGACTAATGAGCCTAAATTAAATCAAGTTCTTAACGATTTAATACATCAGTATAAATACTTAATCTTAATGTCGTAGTACAAACATGTTGTTAACGTTGTCAGTTGTGTAGACTTTGGGCCAAGTAAACTTTTTTTTTTTAATACAGTATTATATTGCCTGTAATAAGCACAATTCAGTACTGTTATAAATCACGTACCTATATCTTAAAATATTCAAATAAATATTATATGTTAATATGATTTTTTCTTAGTATTTATCGTAATATTTAACCTCCTTATTTTTTTTTTTTTATAGATTATCATGATGATCGTCGTGTCTGTGGCCGTAGCCGACGAAAAGGCGACAACCAAACAGGATAAGCGTCAAATATCTTCATACAACGGTGGTACTGCTGCAACAATTGCACAACCGTTACAAACGCCACAACCGACACCTGGTGCAGTAGCAATCAATAATGTACCTTCGTACCAACCAAGTTATTTACCGACTTGTGTGGTACAACCATACGGCAATAGCATTTTTACCAATCCATCGGTACCCGCATATCAGCCCCCGTACTATAACGGGCCCACTGAGTCATTTGTACCTCAATACCAGCCGCAGCAATATCCAATCGCTTATCAGCCACCGCAATATCCGATCGCTTATCAACCAACGCAGTACCCGATCGCTTATCAGCCACCACAATATCCGATCGCTTATCAGCCGTCACAATATCCGGCCACTTACCAGCCGCCGCAATATCCGGCCACGTATCAGCCGCAACAGCCCACCCAGAGTCCAGCGCCGTACTCGTACAGTTACTTCACTTCGGCGGCCAACAATGCCAACAATAACGCACAGTTGTCCTCCACTAAGAAGTAGTACGTGTTTTTAAACCCGAGGAGAATATGCCCAAATTTTTAACGCTGTTATAATTATATAGGTAACATGTATATTTCTGTCAAAATATAAATCATAATAAACGCAGACTTTTACGAGAATTCAAATCATTTTTATTTTATTAATAAATACATAATATAATATTTCACAATGATACAGACATATTTATATATATATACAAATAAAATAAAATAATATGATTATTAACAATGGTTTACTAAAACTACGATTGCCGACGATGTGGTAATCATATAATTCAGATTATATGAATGAAATGTTCTTATTACTGCGACTCAGCGGGTCGATTGAAGAGTGCAATGTCATTAACAATTAGTAGATAGACGGGGCATAGTACGGGGCCTTGTAGATTGGTGCATGGTGGTAAGACAGAGGGGAAGCGTAAGAGATGGGAGCGTGATAGGGGAGGGGTGCGTGATAAGAGAGAGGCGCGTGGTAGGAGATTGGCGCGTGGTAGGAGATTGGCGCGTGGTATGGCAGGGGAGCGTGGTAGGACAAGGGGTAGGACAGTGGAGCGTGGTATTTCAGTGGCGATACGAAGGTCGTAGGCAGAGCCAATGGAGCAGCTGGGTAAGTGAGCGGTGCGTGGTACGCAGGGTAGCCGTAGCCCAGTCCGTAGATGCTACGTTTGTCTGTCGTCTTGGCAGGAGACGCTTGTTGCGGCTTGGCTTCTTCGGCGAACGCGCAGACGGCAAAAGCCAACAATAGAACGGCAGCTACGTACTGAAAAACGAGAAAAACCGTAAAACGTTATCTTCATTGATCCGTTATTCGCGTTATCATCATATAAGTGTATAACCTGCACACATTGTCTTAGTTATAAGCTACAACTTACAAGTACATATAGAAGTATAGTGTGCCGCCACCAAATCGAAAAGACGTTGTAATGATATGAGCCATGAGGTACCTAAGTAGCTCATTATACTAATTGATTAAAATTTATTGTCAACAAGGCGGATAATAGGTATTAACAATCATAATTTAATCGACAATATAACTCTAAATGTATTAGAGACGATTTAATTTTTTTACTTGATATAAAATATATCAACTCCTTTATGGTATGATGTGTATTAAAATATTTTAAAACGATTATAACATAATTACACGTAGATCGCAGATGTGGTTTTTGTAAGTCTTGAAAATTAGTCGTATTGTCCACAGTTAAAAGTATTAACCAATAAATACATTTGCTATTTAAGCAACGCGTTTTATTTCGTACGAAAAACTAATCTAAACGTCTATACCTTAAATATGAGATACATATCGCAAACTTTTTTTATATTTTGAAAAAAACAGTGACTCATAACTAATAGATTTAATAAAATATTAAGCGCGAGTATAAAACATATAAAATAAACTTACAGATTTCATGGTGATTGGTTTTTGTTGGTCTGCACAATGTGGATAAGAGATAACAATATTTTATTCTGCTTGCTGAAGAAGCTGATTGATTTGTGATCTATTTCGAACAACAGTTGTGCGTTTTATAGTCCGACAAAACTGGATCAACGGTGTCAGTCAAAGTAGCCGCCCCTGTGCTTAATACCCAAACGGGCCATCTAGTGGTCAGAAAACTTGTTTGCGCTTTGTCGTGTAATAAAACCATTTTATCTTTAACACGTAAATTGCACTTTATAATTGTCATTGTTATGCACGTAGCTTTACCTACTGCTTACGTTTTACTGTAACATTCGAAAATCTTTAGTTAACAGCATTTGACTTGCATAAAATTAAAACAATATTTCCATACAAATTAAACAAAATACATTTCAATCTCAAGCACTCGTGCTTTGATACACGCAACCAATATAATTAATATTATAGACTATATTACGTTATAGTTTGCGTGTGTACACAAAAATACGAGTAGTAAGAAAGGTATAAAAAAAAAAAGTAGATTTACGATTTGGAAATCCACGTAATTTTCATTATCACTTACTCTTGGTTACTTTTTTAACTGTCATACAGTTATGTAAATGGTAAGATATTTTAAATTATTCAAAAATTAGAATTAAAATACACATCAAACTATATACTTTAAACTCAAAATTGGATCGAGCATAAAATATTTTATTTAAAATAAAAATATATATCCTTGATCTAAATAAAACTTGTTTGAATTACGAAAATAAAAATTACTCAAGCATATTAATTTAAAAATCTAAAAATCTATTTTATAAAACGTTTTATCTATCTTATACATTTTTATAAGCTATATTATGTATATTATAATATAACAACTTTTTTATCATTAATATTAGGTATAAAGTAAATTAATTTAAACATTTATTTAATGCAATTAATTTATCTTAACAATATATATTTTAAATCTAATATTTAACCATGGAAGTTTAAAACTATTAATTGCTAGCTATAAAGTAAGTACGTACTTGAAATTTTCTTTCAACAAATAATATTTACACCTCTATTTTACAATACTATACTAATATAATTATTTATGTACAACTTCTTATGTAGAATACAGATTTTTGCTACAGATGATCTGTAAAACATAATATAGTTTTCGAAAAAATCTAAAAACAAAATAAATTACATAACCACAAATAATGAAAAAACTAAAAACATATTATCGTAAGAAAAAATAATAACTATATATTAAACCAATATAGATCAAAATTACTCATTATTTGTATAATAATAAATGTTTGTTTTAAACTGGTAAAATATCTTTAAATTATCCTTTTTATAAAAGTTATATTCATTATTTATTAATTAAATTTTTTGCATAAAAATATTTAAAAAAAAATATTAATTTGTTTATTTATTCAGTTTTCTTTTTTATAGTATATAATATATGCCGTAGGCTTTAGAAAAAATGAGTTTTGTTTACAAAAAGACAAGGCTCTTTGCGATGAAATAACTCGTTTGCAAACTAATAATTATTTTCTTCAAATCACCAGGTTCTTTTAATCTTATTGCAGATAGATAATAAGAAATTAGGCTTTTTAATAACTATAATTATTATACAGTAACTTTATTCTAATTTATTACTTGTAAAAATATCTTACTTCTTTGCTTTAAAAGTTACTCGTACTTGTTAACAAAACAAAATAAAATAAAAGAATTATTATATAATATGTAAACTATACAAGTACATACCTATTATATTTATTTAGTGAAAATGTTTATTATTGTATAATTTTAAATAACTGTTATATTAAATTTATTTATAGAAAATCGAAAAAAATAATAACCTAATGGTTAAATATTTACATGATCAATAATAATAATACACTGTTAGCTCAAAGTGCCACAAAAAACAATATTTAACAATAAGTAAATAAAAATTGATACATATATTTTATTTTTCGTTAGTTATTCAGTGATATTAATAATATGCTTTAAAAACAAATAAATAAAATTAGTTGTTTAATAGTTAAAAACCGTGTAATAATATATAACTTCACTACTCTTCACTAAATAAATATAATATGTACTTATATAGATTAAACATAATACATTGTTTGTTCATTTTTTTGTACAAGTTATTAATTACGATAATATTAATATAATATAACAATTGTAGATTTTAAAAGGCCTAAATGCTGTTTAGATTTCTACAATAAGATTGAAAACAGTCTGCCGTTTGAAAAAAAAAATTAGTAGTTCACAAACAGGCTACTTCATTGTAAGGAGTCTAGTCCTTTTACAAAATAACTAATTTGTCATATGACCTACGACATTATAATAAATTATAAATGTATAAATGTGTTAATATATACCAATGAATACTTATTGAGATCGTCATTTTCGGGATACAAGGGAATTTATTTTCACTCCATAAAATGTAGATACTTTAAACATGTGTTTTAAAGATTTATTAATAAAATTTAAATTGATTCTCGTTTTTATAACATTAATAGCAAAACTTTAATGGTTTTAAAAATTTTTTAATTTTAATTATTCTTTATAACTACAGATATTTTTGTTGAATATTTTATATATTTTAATATAAAATTATTATTATTATAATTTTTAAAGTACCTAACACTGATTATGGGCAGCTTATTTTAAATTTTTTATACATTCCACGAAAAATTCTGAAATTACACCATAATCTATTATTATACTTAGCTTAAAGTTTTGAATACAATTATTGTACTTCAATAGCATAGATAACAATTAAAATTTATTTTTGATAATGTGATATTATTATACCACATTATTATTAAATTACAAAAGTTTTTAACAATTAATTAGTCTATATTATACTCCATACTGATATGGCTAATAAGTAATAATTAATTGATGTATCACATATGAACTAACCACTATGCGATAATTATTGAATGAAATTTAATTTTATAATTTTAAAAGTAAGTATGAATTCAGTTTTTAATTGATTTAAATTATTCATAGTAAGTTTAAGTTAAATTTTTATCTCCTATTAATTATCTTCAAATTCGTTATCTAAATTATTAAATTAACAACATAAATAAATCAATGAAATTTGTGTCCATTTTAATTCGGTAACATTTTGAAAAACAAAAATTATTTTATAAAATAAATTATTTGCAAAAATACACCATAATAGTTCAAAACCCTTTAAAATAATAATATAAATATATGTATATATATATTATAATATATTATATGTGTGTATTTTCAAGATAAACTATACTAATTAATACGCAATGAATGAAAATTATAATATTATAAAATATAGTAATTACATTACAATAAATTATACTAATAATAAGATAGTTATAATGCTAGTTTGATTGTATCAAACAAAGATTAAGGAGTATTTCTATTATATTTTAATTTATAATCAATTGAAACATAAAAATCGATCTAAAATGTAATAACACATCATTACAATTTTAGATTAATAAAAATATTTTAAACAAATGTAAAATTTAAATTTAACTTTTATCTACTATTTATATATACTCGTAGCTATCTGATTACTAATAATTTACTGTTTCTAAATATATAGATACTTAAGTAATACAATATTATAATTTATTATTTTTGATTTGTAATCTCGTAAATATAATCGTGCATGTTAACTAATTGAATAATAAATATAATAAATTATATTCAAATATTTTTTTTTAAATAAGTTTCATGAAAATAAACTGACTGCTTGATATAAAATATTAATAAATATTAATTTTGTATGTTAATGGCAAACCTAATTCAAGTAAATAATGATATTCAAAATCATAATATACCTATTAGGTTAGAGAAGTTTAACAATGAAAAAATTTAGAGCGTTTTAAAAATGTGATCTTTATAATTTTAAATGTTTTACAAAGTACTAGACCGTCAAGCATATTATATAAAATAACTTTAAAAAAAACAAACTCAAAATATTTAAAATAGCCCTCTACGTAAAGCGTCAATATATTAGGTATAATAATTAATTATATATTTTAATTAGCACTGAATAGTTTAAATACTTACTAAAATATTGTAGTTGAAATAAATCATTCATAATTAATTAATTTTATGATAATTTTAACAAATTATTATTTGAACTTCACTTATTACATTATTTATTAGGTACCTACATATTTTTAAACTGGTTTTTCATGGTTTATTTTGTTTAATAAATATATATTGTATTAAATTAAATTATATGACTCAATTTGTATAATAACATTTTATTTAATAACTGGTCCATAATTAAAAAGCTATTTTCAGTATTATGCATCTGTTTACAATTTGCTGATTATAATTATTTAGTTATGCTATCATTATTTTAAGTCTAGTGAATATTTTTAGTAATACATTATAACATAATAAATTTAAACTCAAATTGAAGAATATTTTGCTCAATAGATATCATTTTATATTAGTAGGTTATTATAATTATTTCTTAAATTTATATCATAGTATTTTACTGTAAATCAATCTTAAGTTGGTATATTTTTTTTCATCTAGCTATCTAAAAGTCGGAACACATATTTAATACATTAAAAATTATAAACTGTTTTAATTTTGTAAATGATAATACCAATTAACATAATATATATATAGCCACTGTTTTAAATTTTTTATCATAACACTAATAATTAATGAAAATTTTCTTATATATTGAAATCATTAAAGTAGTGCATACAAATTAATTTGTATAAATAACGAATATTATTAAAGACCATACATGGTAATAACAGTCAGTGGCGGCGGGATATAGGATTATTTGAAGCAATTGCTTCATGTTTGAAAGCTCTTTGGCCACTGCTACTTATTAAGGGTGGTGGTAAAAATATTTAAAATATACAATATGCTTCAAAGCCTCCACAATTTCGCGCCGCCACTGATAACAGTATAAATTATTTTTCAATAATAGAAAATATAAGTTTTCGTAGTTCACTGAGTTACTATTGCTTTAAAATTTCTACAAGTTACTTATTAGTATGGTGTTTGCACCAAAATGTATATCTATTCGTATATATTGAATTATTTCATCGGTGCCTTCGTTAACATATTATTATTAAAA